CCATGAATCACTGAAGATTCAGAATCTACAGGTTCACACTAATATGGATCATCGCTGATGAATTCGGGAGGAGACAAGTTGACAACCCGCAGTGACTGTGTGAAATGGATATTTTGAACAGTTGCCTTGCCTGAAAGCATCGTAATTGGGAGACCATGTGTGGAGTGTAACAGTGAACAATTTAAACCTTCCAGAAGCCGGTCATTGCCCATTCGCAGTATTGTCTCATGAAACTTGATATTCTTATAACTTATTTAAAGAATGATGTACGTCATTGCATTATAAATGTATTTAATCACTCGAACCGTTATTTATTAGCACTATAGGTTGTGTGCATGTGTGTGTAGTGTTGAGATGCCGTAAAACTCGTGTAGTATTTCGACAAATACATGCGTAAACTGAATGCTCATGCACATTTATACCTACCTTGCGTTTAAATCATAGATGGGTGGATGGGGAGATTAGGTGGGCTTCACGGGCTAGGCATCCACGGATTGACGGTGGTAAGTCCATTCAAGTGTTAGGGTCTAGGGAGGATGCGTTTTCACAAATTTAGCTAAGAGCTCATGAGCACTGAATATGTAAGTACATATACGTGGCTCGTCGACTTTGTCAAGGTTTGAATGCTTTTCAATGCTAAATAAATCGAAAATACTGTACAATCATGAACTAATGACATCGAACCTAAACGGTTCCGGCAATATGCTAACAGCAAAAAATGTCAAGTGTGAATGCCAAGCCCTTTTGGTTGGATAAATAAAAGGGTACATTCGTTGTAAGCCCGGTACGGTCAAGCTAGGAAGTCGTCATCTTCGTCAGCAACGCTACCCATCCCACGGTGGTGGACGTAATGTGGAATGAATGAGTGAGAGTCGAATGTATCGACAGGGCCGTGGGAGCACTTTGACGGGTCAGTCCGGACACAATTGTCGGTGCCGCCGACCCCACCTGCCCGCGGCTCCGTCAGTCTACCACTCACTCTCGACGACCGACGCGCGTTTCGTCACCGTCGTCCACACATTCCGTCCCTTTCCCGCCCTTGTGCTGTGCTGTGCGGCGGCGGCTTTCTCATCCTGCCGTGGCCGGAGCGCGGCGAAAATGGAGCCGCGTGTCCCGATTAGCGGCGCTCAGCGGCTCCGGGCCGAGCACAGATCCGGGAGGGAGCACCGCCGCCGGCGAGCGCCGCGCGCATGGAACGCGCCATTTATCTCGCACCGGACTGGGACGGCGCGGCGTCAGAGACACAGGGCCGCCGCCATTCAGGAGCAGCCCGGATGTACATATAGTCGGAACGGAGGTAGGCATGGATGACTAACAGAGGTAGCAGATTATGCATGCCTTCCCTTTTAAACTAGGACAAGCTAGTACATTTGATCTGCCAGTAAGAACCAATCATACACTTTTTGGGTGAAGAACGAGCAAGCGCAACAATGAGCGGAGGTGCAAAGTGAGACCTCCAACTGATTTATGCGTGTCACCAATGTTATTGGTACCTAACAGCGCACTTCTCAAGCCCAATCAGCGTAGCCCTTATTGAGATTTAGAAGCGGTCCCCAATTCCCATAGAATTTGATGACCGAGAAGTAAGATCACGCACTGTAGGACTGGTAGTGGTTTTATTACATCGACCTCGCAAGTCGCTACAAAATCACTTTGACACTGTTCCCTTTTTCCTAATATTTCTTTTCTAATAAAATGTAACTGTCACATGTATGGTTAATGGCTAGCAGCAGGCGGAACTTCAGTAGTAGCAGGCATACTGGGTAACTTGCGAACATTTTTTACAACTGAAGTACAGCGATAAAATCACAATGTTGGCACAATAAGTCTCCAAACAATGGATGGGTACGTGAAGGTATCTGAATAGATCAGTGAACTTTCCACGCACAGACCTTCACAGCAACGAGGTCAACGCTTTGTATTTTCGTACGTGTCAAGGTCTATCACTCATCAGCTCAGCACTGTAAAGTGAAACAGGCCTCATTCAGTGGCAAGGCGACTGGGGCGCCCTCAGGCGGCTGCCACCCTGAACTAGAGTTTGAGCTGAGCCCTCGGCCGTCTGGGGAGGGCAGCACCGTAGCGATTCGAGCGAGGAACTCCGAAGTCTGAACCAGCTCTGGCTCTGAACCAGCTCCGAACCAGCCCTGAGCCAAGACAGGGGAAGTGGAGTGAGGAACGGCAGCTGCTTCTACGTAAGGGCTGCCTCACGAGTTTGCTATTCAACTACGCGTCCGCAGTTGCACGACCTCCCCGGATGTGATGAATACCTACGAGATATGGATTATCTATCCGGTGGAATTTGATGATTCCTTCGGAATTTATTGCGAAGTTAAATATCATCAAGTGGGCATGCAGAACATGCCAGTACCTCGCCCGGAATAGGTAAATTCAGTTGTGCTTTTGAAGTTGGATGGATGCCCTAAGAAGGCAGCGCCGACCTTTCATCGATCCGAAAATTTGATTAGGCCAAAAACATCCTTTACAAAAAAAAAGATACGTTGCTTCACCCACTGTATTGATAATTATCAGCCATCAGGGCATGGAATAGACTGTACCTTATTTTTGGCGACTTACATATCGCGCACACATCGCAGGCGCCTGGAAATATCAAATGTTGACATCTTTCAAATAATAGCATTAGCACAAACGACACTGGTATATCAGGCGTGTGTGACGCAAAACATGGCGATGATATGCGAAACGCAATAGCGACACACACACACACGCACACACACACGCACACACACACGCACACGCACACGCACACACACACACACACACACACACACACACACACCCACACACACCCCCACACCCACACACACACACCCACACACACACACACACACACACACACACACACACACACACACACACACACGTTTCCGGCCATTGACAAAAACACAAGGCATTGCATTATTGCCGCGCTACGAGACCGGTGTGAAATGACCGAGTTAACTAACAACTACAATTATGCCACGAAATATCACGGTAAACACGAATACCTACCCCTCTGTGGGTCGCAAGCACAAATCCAGAATAACGCGAATTCTAACGGTCGCTACGTGCTCAGATCGATGTAACCATAGATATAGCTGGTTGATGGTCCATAATACGTATCCTAGGTACATACATACGCCACAGCGAAACAGGTAGGTTAGCGATAGGCCCGATTAGAGCGTTAAATATGACAGCGGTTTTATAGAGCGCCACCGTTTACCTCCCACGCGCGATCAACATCATTTATCAGCCGCTACTGGATGGGCAAACCTTTTATAGCCGAGCCATAAATTGTAGCACTGATGAGGGGCATTCGAGCAAAAATCCTTATAAAGCTGAAAAGACACCCATGTAGCAGCAGTGAATGACTGTGAACTGTGGGTGAATGCACAAACTACGGTGAATGCAACAGTTAAGAACAACACCTACCTGAATAGAGCGTATAACTACGTCGTTTCGCTTTGAGGGATGCTTGGCCACGGACAAATTTCTACTTAGTGCGCACATACAATATTTACTTATGGATTCTCCTAAATACTACGAGTATGCGAATACGACAGAGCGGTCACACCCACACATTCCAGGGCCTCCTCTAAGGAATTTTCACTGGGGGGGCCAGAGGCTCAGAAGCCAAACCTAGGATACCCCCAAATCCGGTTTTCTCATCGGATTTAGGCCACTTATTTTTCGTCACAGCCCTGATGCCAGGATTTTTATTTTCATTTTGAAAAAAAAAAAATAGTAGGCCACCTGACCCTATACCGGTGGATCCAATTCCAGACCGGCACGGGCAGGGTGACATTTGTGGTAAATATCCCCCGCAGCGTCCGAAATCGACGAAAATTTTCGGCTTTCGAAAATGAAACAAAATGCCTTTATTAAAAAAGTATTAAGCGGCACAGCAGTGCGTAAGGAATCTAACCGTCCGCAGAAAGTGTGAGGGCTTAGGTATCGATTTCCCAAACGCTGGAAACCATGAACAGCTACCTGCCTGAAAACAGCTCACCATCCTAAAAAGCTACTTGCCTGAAAATGACTCAAGAAACAGGCCACAGGTCAATGAGAATGAGGGTGAGGGAACAGAGTAATTACATTTTCAGGAAATGTGTAGAATTGAAGTAATCACGAGAATACCTACTAAAACTTTTGCCAGCTGGGCCACTTTTTATGCGAGTTATTCGCAAAAAACCTAGGGGTGGGGTCTATCATACCTCTCAATAAGTGAGAGGGCTTATCGCTGCTAGTCCCAAACACTGGAAAAAAACTTATATCGTGCTATAAAGCTCAGCCGCACTCTTATTTTGCCGTAGAAAAAAATTTCTCTTCAAGAATAAGCCCGTCTCACGAAAAAAAACATAATACTTCTCCGTGTTGAACCGTAAGCGCTTGACTGATTGAGACTACATAGAGGGCGACCGTTCGGGCTGTTTTCTTCTCAAAGTAATGCCTCGCTCGGGCTTCAGTCGGCGTTGTATTATAAAATCTGCAATGTCTGACCTCATTCCGTGGCTCATCCCAGGCGGATCTGTAAAAAAACCTGTAGATAAGAAACCAACGATATAAGGAAACTAAAATCAGTAACGTGGTGATCGTGGAGATAGTCTGGATTGTTTATTTGGTTGAAATTTCCTCGTTTTTAACGTGATTTGCTTATCTGCATGGCCCCCCAGTGACGCGATTTCAGCTCCACTGGGGGGGGGGCCAGCGGCATCACTGGGGGGGCCACGGCCCCCCCAGTTAACATGTTAGAGGAGGCCCTGACACATTCCCATTCATCCGTACGCTCGCACAGCGCGCCGAGCAGAGATCCTGGGCGGTAGGCTAGCCCGCAAGGCAGCCTGTATTTAGGCTGTACCGCAAGACACATCCATAACATACGCGGGGCGATGACGGCGTCAGGTCTACACTTACAGCAATATGAAAATGGGGGGGGGGTGAGGAGTAGGGGGGGGGGGGCTGACCACAATGCAGCGCTAAGGGCGCGTGACCTGACTGTGCAATGGGTGTGCGATGGGTTGTCGATGTGTAATCGAAGGCTATGCTACCTGTCACTCGGAAATCACGCCAATATCAAAGAGGCACGATGCACCTGGTTTAGGATCATCAACCACTCACAACATCAAAAGCTATCCAAATTGCCGCGTAAGCAGCACACTGCAGCAAATAATCTCCAGTAATTGCTAGGTCGCTCAAAACGGTAATCATGTGTGACGTCACAGCTCAGCTCGGGCCGGCGGCTGTCGACGGCAGCGGTGACGTCACGGCTGTGGGCGGGGCCTGTTCGGGGCCGCTGCCGCCCGTCAGGAACTGCAGCAGCACTATGACGTAAGTTGCCGTGACAGTCAGACACTGCGGGCAAACAAAACATGTCAGATAAAGATAATATAGTCGGGGTGACCCGTCGGGGTCCGGTGGCTTTGAACATACGACGGAATAAAAAAAAAAAATGTTCGAAAGTTGGTCCATTGCCTCAACATTTCAATAGCATTAGCAATTCGATTAGCGATAGCCAAACGTTTATATTTTTTTTTCTAGTGAGGCCATCATGTATGACGGCTTTAATACGACAGCAGCTAAAGCCAAGAACAAATGATGCTGATAAAATGCGGCCTTACACTGGTTGTGGTGGCTCGGTGCAGTCGGAACAGCCGCAGGTCCCCCATCGAGTCTTTGTCGTGGGACAGCTGGTCAAAGTATAGCGCCACCTGCAGACGGGAGCCGAGAGGTTACCAAAGCACCTTTCAAACACACTGTGTCACATTAGGCAATCATTAAAGCGTCATAGTCGGTTTAGAGAGTCGGAGAGCTTATCAGGATATTGATTCAAAATTTGCGCTCAGCTCAATATCCACTCACTCATTTATCTTAGTTTGTTAGTTAATTACATTCATTATCTTATCTTAGTCCAATTAATAAGCTACGTCTAGGAGCAAAAAGATGAGCTCAGTCTCACCGGTTGCTCCAAGTGCTCGTTGTTGCACATCCTGATGTCCCAGAGCGTGTTCTGAATCCTGTAGACGCTATTGATGACCTGCTGGGAAGCCTCGCAGGGCAGGTAGATAGCGATGACGAAGACGATGGCGCCCAGCAGGCAGGTCACGAGGCCGAACGCCGCCGCCGACCACTGGGCTGATCCGAGCGCGTCGCTGCTCAGGATAAAGCCCAGCATGCTGAAGTAGACGGGGCCAGCAACGCCGAAGAACATGAACGGAATCAGCTCGGCCTTCGACGCCAGCAAAACAAATTCATACGCCTGGGAGAGCTTACGATGGGAGGCGCACAGATACTGGAGGATGCTGCGGAGGTCACCAAAGTCGGTCTCAACGTGGCCGGTCAGAGCTCGCAGTGCCCCGTTTACGTGATCGAAGCATGCGGAAAAGCACATTGCAAAGAACACCATCTTTAAGGACATGATGTTGAAGATCATCCACGGGATAGCGAACAGCATAATCGCCCAGGTCTGTCGCAGACACTCCATCGTATCGAGGGTGGCGCAGCCGGGGATGACGGCCGCCAACACGCCTAGCAGAGGGAAGCAGCTGAGGACAGTCGCCGCCGCGGCCAGCAGGCGGCTGGAGCGGCGGACACGGCGCAGCAGCGTCTGGTAGTCGCCGACCCCCTCCAGGGCAGCGCACACCTCCTGGAGCCGGCCGAGCAGCGCCGTCATCCGCCGGCAGCCGACCGTCAGCGCGACCGTCACCGGCAGCGTCAGCAGCAGCGGCGCCAGCCCGAAAAACGCCGACATCACCACCGCCCGGGTGACGCCTGCGGTGGCGCCGGCGGCGGCCACCCCGGCCGCGCCCGCCTGACACGTGTCCCAGCAGATGGTGCCGATGGAGAGGCAGCTGGCAGTCAGCAGCAGCGCCGTGTAGGCCGCCCGTCCGCCGCTGACCGCCGCGCCGCCGGCGGAGAGCCGCGCGCAGCTCAGCCCGGAGACGGTCAGCACCGTCAGGAACGGAGACAGAGACTGCCGGAGCGTCAGCCGGCCGGCCGCCGGCGCAGGCCGCGGCGACTGGACGTGGACCTTCACACGCATCCTAACGATGTATGCGTTATGCCTGGTATAATCCGTCTATCCTTAATACTAGTGCGTCGATATTCACAAAAAACGCCGATAGTCACTTCAAAAATCAGATTCAAATAATTTCGGGCTAAACAAATTGCATTAAAATTAAACAGCAATACTAACTAGTACGAAGCCAATAGACGCTGAGCTCCTTCAGCGACCACAAGCGACCTCGTTTGCACGGAGGCGGTAGCCCGTCGGCACCGTCGACCCTGGCCCGGCTCCTTTATAGGATCATCGGTCCGACGGGCCGCACGTGCGCACACGGACGCACAGCCGCTCATCATATACCGACTACGGGTCGATATGGTGTATCCGGCACCCACGTCTTACACAAAGTTCGCTATACATCAACCGGGTCTGCCATCATACCTGCGTGAAAACATGCTACGTGTAGTGAGAAGTCATTCAACCAGGTTATGATGATTTGTTAAGCCTGCTACCTAGAGCATAATATCGAACTTATTACCATTTACCGGGTTAAGCCCAATGCATTCCAGCCTGAGCGCGGCAAAGCTGACGATGTTTCATTTCTTAATCATCGTTTCAAGTAAAACGGTGACCATTTTATCATAGATGCTGCACCTGTCTTTATCCATTTACTAAGGGGGCTATCGGTCTCTATTGTGAGGGGGCAGGCAATAACCCGTAAACACGCGGCACCTCGCCCCTAAATGAGCTGGAGCCAAAGAGTTTCGCGGGAAACGGCCGTACGCAGATAAAAAATCTAAGGGCTTAGATTAATCGGTAGTTTTTTTTAAGTCAACTCAAATTTCAACAACCTTAAGGTCATTGGTTCGTGACTTCGGCAACAACAGACACAGAACAATTATTTTGATATCACATTTGTTATGTCCAGAGGCGTCGAACAGCATGTATTAGTCTTAAAAAGTTAACTTGGGTGTTGAACTAATGTCATTTTTTTAATCAGCGCGGGGCCGGTGCTCGGCGCCCGGCCGGGGGGGAGGGGGGGGGGTCTGAACATCCCCACGTCTAACTCGGCTCCTGGGCCACGTATAACGTACCGACACGCGGTAATCGGCATTCGAAAGAGCGTAACAAAAATAAAGAAGAAAACACTTGGGTCATTTTTAGGTCAGGTCAAAGGTCAGGTAGCCAGAGAGGTCATCAAAGGTCAAATTTTGCCTATTTCAACCATTTTCAAAAACCTGGCGCATAACTCGGGAACCAATAGAGCTACAGCGCCGCGGAAAAGCGCATTCGATAGCTCTTTCAACGCTCTTTACTGATAGGTACAAATTATACTCGCCTGCAACAAACGGTCACCCAACAACACGTCGATACACCCATAATATATTGCACGTAAGCAACACACTCATAACAAGGGCATATGCATGGACATGCCCGAAAGGATGGTCTCAAAATCTGTGATTCTCGCGGGCACAACACTGGCAGCTCGAAGAACAGCTCGATTCACTTTTTACAATGTGATACAGAGACCGTTGAACTCTGTTGGCGGGACGGGCATAGCTCTTGACGTTCCATCCCATAATAAGGGAGCCGCGTGATGTCGGCTTCCCAAAATATCATCGGTGTAATATCCAATGGCGACCATACGTGGTATAAACGGCGTAACATCCGTAACAACAATGACGTAACATCCATAAATAACAACTGGCGACGCTCCCCTCGGCACTCTACCTCCCAGTAGAGTGCAGTACTCTACCTCCCGGTTCTCCGTCTCACGCTGTCACCCGTCTCGAATCCTCCTCTTCCGCCGGCCACTGCTCCCTCTCTCCCCTCTCTCCGTCTCCAAACTGATCTCCTACGCCCGGCTGACGAACTTCCTGCCCCGAGGGTTGAAGAACTGGGGCTCTGGGGCTGCGGATTTGACCGATTCATCCTGCGCCTCCGCCTCCTCCTCAGCTAACGGGGCGTTCCGTCCCTCCAGGTACGGTCCTTGTACATCCAGCTGGGCGTACTGACTCTCCTCCGGGGCGTAGTATGCGTAGTTCACAGCGTTCACCTCCTCCTCCGGAGCCACAAAGTCGTATCGGTCGCCAGGCGGCTTCGCCGGCTTCCTGAACTTGGGCCGGATCTCACGGGTGCCGAAGTGTCTGCCGAGAAAGTAGACGAGGCCAGTGGTGAAGAACGTGGGTCCGAGAGTGCCTAGTCCGAACATCACAGCCTTGGCGAGCGACGGTGAGAGGCTGATGAGCGTGGCGAAGATAGCTGAGGAAGGCGTACAGAGCGCCAGGAGGGCGGCGAAGACCCAGAAGAGGCGCATGGTGAGGCGGCCGGCGGAGACAGCGGAGCGGAGTCTACGGCACGACTCGCGGCGGTAGAACGGATGCGTGGGGTCCACTAGTTGACCACCAGAGCACAGTCGAGGTGTCGGTGTGAGCAGCACGGCGTCAGGAGGGTCACTGCGGGTGCCGGCGGATGACCGCACCACCGCCACCTCCTGCCGATCAGTGTCCCCCGGTGTCCCGGCGCCCGGCTGGCCCACATCTGACCACCTGACGTGTCAGGCGACGGCGAGAGGGCGCCGGCCGCCGCCCGATGGCCCGCCCGATCAGAGCCGTGCAGTGCATTATGCAGCGGCCGGCCGCATTGTGGACCCGGAACAGGGCCGCACAGGGGAGCGTCGCCCTAAGACGCACGTGGTGTCAGGCAGTGTCACCGGCACGGCGCGCTCCGCCCGGCGACAGACGGTGACCCGTTCACAGGAGTGAGCTGATGTCGGTCAGATGCTACATCGTCACACCGCATATCCAATAGCACGGTGTGAAATTCAGCTGACCTATTTTTCTGAAAGATACCACACTGAATGTGGCTAATAAGTTAGAAACGATTGGAAGTAGCATTTCCCAATTGGCGCACTTTACCGTAAAACATGCTACATCATCTTCCGCTGTAGCTTTTCACTTCCGGGAAGACATCGAAGGAACTAGGGAGTGGCAGCGATTTAATATACTCTATTCAGATGGGCGCAGCCACACCATGGGATATTTATAGCTGTCCTGTAGCCGCCATGCAGACACTAAATGTCAGTCTCAGACGCGCACGGACATGCGTAACGTCTAACCGATCCTTTCAAGCCTTACTTACCAGGGCTTTACCAGACAGGACTTAAGTAGAATCTATGTATGTTCAACATCAACGTATCGCGTTCTACCGATATACACCAGCTTCTTCGCCCTTGACTTCCCATGCGGATCAATATAAGACAATTATCACCGCTCGTTTCTACGAGAACCTTCACACAATTTCTAGCAGAGTACCTAGTCTGCCGGAAGCCTCACATTGGTGTCAAGGCTCCCTGCTGTGACTGCTTCTGAACAAACATTGTCACTGCTGCCAAGTCAACAGGAAAACGAGCAGAATTGCCAAAAGAGTATCCTGGACGACGGTTTATGATATTCCTAATGCACGTTAACGCGCGTAACGTTACTAGAGCGAGGCCGAGCTGTGCAAATACAGCACACAATACTGCTGAGTTGATTGTGTCATACGATACCCAGCAGCGGCGAGCGGGGCGTTGCCACCGTCCCTGGCCTAGATGGTCTGTTTGTATTACACAGCGTCCGGTCGGGGTGCCGCATACATACGACATTAACGCAATTCGCATACACAGAGTGATTGATGGCAGGAGACCGCACTGAGCTACTCCGGTTAAATGAAAATACTGATCCGAGCAGGGCTCAATGGTATTGTCATCGGAGCAGACGTGGGGATACAGTTAGGAATCGGGTGAGGATGAATTGTCGACTCAATGGATGCTGCAGTGGCGCCCTTTAGAATGTTCCATCTTATCGAAACACCTCCTTCATGTAATGCCAGAGCTGGACTGTATAGCTCAAAGATAAAAGCAACCGATGCAATTAACACATTTATTGAACACTGAAGTAATGTTAGATACATTTAGGCACTAATCAAGTCACTGTCCGCCCAGCGCACACAAGACCGCTGCGTTCACCAACACAAAACCATGCCACCTACACTCACTACGGTATAAGTTAACCAAAAGTAGCATGGCAAGCTAAACTCAAACTAGCGATATTGAAACGGTACTTCGTACAGTAACTCACAATATGTATAACTCTATATGTAGCTCACGTTATGTATTTTAATCATCCAGACAACTTGACGATTCCATCAGATATCAAGTTACAAATGTAGGTATTATAACATGGCATACCTACCTGTATACACCTGGCGCTTTGCGTCCGGCAAAACGCAGACACGAAATATATCGAACACTTTTCACAAGACATGAACTATCACAAACCACCCAACAAGTACAAACAGATTCGCCAACAGCATATAATCAACATTTAGAACATCTTACTACCCTTTCGTACCAGACATATACATCTTTCATTTCAGTATTTCATAACCCGGATTCGAAGGCGACACGCTTTTGCAGCGTCTATCACACCCGGTGGCACACAAATCTCCCTCCCGAGACACACAACTGCTGTGTCCGCCGACACAGGACGTCACAGCACAAACACATACATACACCAGAGGAGCTGATACACCCGTGTGTAAAACCAAAAATGGCAATGGCAACGGCAGAGTCCGAACCACGCAGGGTTAAAAGGTGTGACGTAGTTATAAATGTTTTCAAAGTACTCATGACTATGAGGACATAAGGTAAAACTGCTGGCAGCAGGCAAAGACAGCCACAGTGTATAACAAGAGAGAACAAAACAAACGCAACAAAAGACTTCATGTTTGAGTGAAAATTAACGACAGGCAGTGGCGTTTGTGTTGATGCATAACAAAATAAATCAAAGCTGAAGGTTTGTAGAAACCAGACGCTTACGGACAATCAGACACCTAAGACCGCGCGCACAGCAGAGAACTAGCATACTGCATATGTACTGATTCACATACTTGGCCTCGTCACAACTGTTTCGCTGACAAAACTAAACTCGGAGCCACATATAAAATAATATCATGCATCTCTTCAAATCCCTCAAAATAATCATGTTCACAATAGCGTTATCTTCCTCTGCATTCCAGCTTAAATTTGATCAAGACAACATAACACGCATTGCCCTGAGCGTTACAGACTTTGGCAACTGGGCATCCCTCTTTGATATTTTTATGTTGAACTCTGTCCCAAACGCCACAAAACTGTACATATACACCAATCACAAGTCAGTCACTGGAGTCCCGACTCGTCAATATAATTCACGTAACATACGACTTAACCAAGTCCTTCCCCACACAAACGTCCGCTCATTTTCACGACCGGGTTTCGTGTAGTACCAGGCGAAACCCTGCCAGTGCGACACACTGAGATGAACAACGTCTCCACTGTGCGGGGCCTTACTCTGCAGTTCTAGGGCCCACACAGCATCTCCACTGGAAAGACTGCATCCTCTCAGCGACAGCCAAAGTCCTCTGACCTTTGTGACTTCCCTCTGTAGTGTCCAGGGTCCTCCCCAGCAGGGTGGGATACTAACTCCAGTGCCAGGTCTATGAACTTTGCGACTTCCTTTGTAATACAGCGCCTATAGTCCAGGCTGACAGAGCCGCGAGTTCACTCCAGCGGTCAGTATTGCGCCTTTGTGACTTCACTGTCTCGCCCTGGCATAGCTGTGTAGTCCCATCAGCCGGCCATTCTCAGGCATTTGTGACTTCTCTGCAGTGCCGTGTCCCGCCCGGACAGGGTACTCACTCCAGCTGTGTGTCCGTCACTGGAACGGCCGCAGCTCTGTAGCCTCGTCATCCGAGTCCTCCGTGGCCAGCCGCTGGTGGCTGCGCCGGAAACTGAGCAGACTCCGCTCCACGATCCTAAAAGGTCAGAGGGCACAGGTCAGAGGTCATATACTGAGCAGACTCCGCTCCACCATCCTGGCCAGGTCAGAGGGCACAGGTCAGAGGTCACATACTGAGCAGACTCCGCTCCACGATCCTACAACGTCAGAGGGCACAGGTCAGGTCAGAGGTCACAGGTCAGAGGTCATATACTGAGCAGACTCCGCTCCACGATCCTACAAGGTCAGAGGTCACAGGTCAGAGGTCACAGGTCAGAGGTCACATACTGAGCAGACTCCGCTCCACGATCCTGGCCAGGTCAGAGGTCACAGGTCAGAGGTCACATACTGAGCAGACTCCGCTCCACGATCCTACAAGGTCAGAGGTCACAGGTCAGAGGTCACAGGTCAGAGGTCATATACTGAGCAGACTCCGCTCCACGATCCTGGCCAGGTCAGAGGTCACAGGTCAGAGGTCACAGGTCAGAGGTCACATACTGAGCAGGCTCCGCTCCACGATCCTGGCACGGTCAGAGCTCACAGGTCAGAGGTCAGAGGTCACGTTAGGGGTCATATATTGAGCAGACTCCGCTCCACCATCCTGGCCAGCTAGAAAATACAGGTCAGACTTCATAAACTGAACAGACTGCGATCCTCCGTCATTGCCGTTTAGAGGTCAACCGCCAGACTAGGACATATGTTCCACGCCACACATTACGTTACAGAGCACACCAGGGCATATGTAAAGCAGCAGTCAGGTCGAAATTCTCACAATTGGTCAGAGCAAACCTTAAGTCACAAGTCTGGAGTGAGATTAATGAAAGTCACCGGTTAAGCGTCCTGTCATATTATGTTAAGTCACGAGGCATAAAGTGGGCTACAAATAATAAATCGCGTCACAGCCTGAATACGCCTCTGGAGAGTTCAGTCCTGCGACAATGGCGTTATCAGTGCAGTGTGAATATCTGGTCAGCAATCGGAACTGGACGCGAGAGTCGCATCCTTCAGTCAGCGGTGGACGGCGAAACTGCAGCGGTCACGGGTCAGGGATTTATGGTCGGCTATCCACAGGTTAATGCTTAGTGGCCTATGGCTGGTAGTCTTAATTAGTGGCCAAGTTACAGTTCAAATGACAGTCAGACACACTCGAGTCCCCAGTCACACATTAGTAACACATCTGCACATCTAAAAACACACATGCCCGTCTCTACCCCCACTTTTCCCCTAGTCACGCGTCTGCCGTATGCGTAATGCACAACGTCCCCGCACAGAGCGTCCACCTCTCCACACTACCAGCCCGAGGACGGGACGGGGACGAGGCCGGGAGCGGAGACGATCGGCCGATATCGGAGTTTCACCGCCGACGACAGACGGCTGCACCACACGGCCGGTGTAAAAACCGGCGGACACGGTACCCGCTCAGGGCGGGGAGAGCTGTGCAGAGGATGGAAAGGAGAGAGTGAATGGGTGGTCTCGTTGAAAAGGCATCTGCGGCATCAACTTACATACACCTTTTTGCACTCAAAATAGGCATCTTTTCATTCAATTTCGGCGAATTGCATTCAATTTTAGCGATCTCTCTATTCGAAGCAAATGAGAGATCGCTAAAATTGAATGCAATTCGCCGAAATTGAATGAAAAGATGCCTATTTTGAGTGCAAAAAGGTGTATTTTAAAACGAATCGGCTATGAAAATAACAATGCGTTGTAATAAAATAAGGCCACAAATCGAATTATACATGCATTAGATATTGAAATGGACACGGAAATATTATGTATGAACATTGAGCATGCTGATGCATTACACTTTCAATGAGTGCCATCATTTATCAGTTCTTCAGCATTAGTAAACACATAGTATGTAATTAGTAGCCTAGAGGACGGACAAAGAAAAGCACCTGCAACGTACACATTTCTACAGCTAAACGTATCCCAGCTGAGCAGAATGTTAGTAACATGAACAACCACTGTCTAGCTCAAGAGGCTCCCGGATTTGCCATAACTGGCAATAGTACCGCCGGACGAACTCCCTAGCAATGGACGAAACACCCGACACCCGACCACTACTGCTGATTCACAAGAAGGCACGGATAACCAATAACCATCGATATCTTACGGACTTACGGACCATGAAAAAAGACCGATGAAATACAAATAACACAAAATGATGAGCCGGGGTTGAAAACCAACACCCCAAACATTCTTATCTAAAACTACGACGTAATCAGCTAATGGAAACCCAGACATCAACATTGACTTCAATGCCCGATATTATAACGCTCAAGAACGAACGGTATGAGTGTGCGAGTAAAGCTGTTAGCCAAATAACTGATCGTTCGAAAAAATCTAATATAAATCATTTAGAATCAGAAGCTGGCTACCGTAATGAATATCAAACCGGATGCGTTTGGGTATAAAACGGCCTTGGCTAAGAACCGCGGGACGTAGAGCAAACGCAAGGCATTTATTTAGTCCAACTGTGCAACCGTTGGACTGACCTGCTAGGACTGCGCGGTCATTTGCATGTAACCAGGTGACTGCATTCCATTTACATTCTATTGCTCTTTCAGTTTCTGACTTTATATGCAACATGCGCATATACAAATGCGATTCAAAAGACTTTCTCTCGCTCAGCCAGCTGAAATACATTGTATTAGCAACATAAAGTCCAATAAGTATGGAGTGCAAAACGGTCAACAAGACACTTTCATGAATCATTGCACAAATAATTATATCTCAATACAGTCTACAAGTATTCAGTAATTTCTTAGGGCGAATCACAAGCAGTATCACGGGTCTCTCCAGCATCAGCGCACGGTTCGACAGCCACATAGACCCCGCAGTAACGGACACCATGCTCCGCGAATCGTCAGCCAGCCAGCAGACCAGCCAGCACGGAGCGCCGGCCGCAAAGGACATCACGAGACAGCCGGGTCAGTACGTATACCCGGGCGTCACTCACGGCTCTGGTCAGGTCAGGTCAGTGCGGGACGGCTAAACGTCACTGCTGCTCAGCAACTGCCTCTCCTCGTCCTCAGTAAGCACGGACTCTCCGGCCGACCTGCTGCAGTGCGCGGCAGGGCGGACAGTCCGCGGCCACAGTGAGATATCGGCCGGGCGGGAGGGGCGGGCGGGCGGCCGGGTGGACAGTCAACTGAGATGGGCGGGTAGGCGGGCCGGGCCGGGCGGACAGCCCGCAGGTCGCAGTCAGAGACCCCGCGGTCGGGCGGCGCAGTGGGGTATCGGGGTAGCACGACAGGACGGCCGCCGAACGGACCAGTGCAGCGGCGTGTTAGTGGGCCAATCGTATGGGAATTATTAGCAGGGTTGCCGACGCGTGGTGACAAGTAGCGAGCGGTGCTTGAACGTAACATAGTGCGAAAAGGGAAAATAAACTAAACCAAAAATACTATGAATACAAAGTGCTTATGTACAGTGATAAATATCAACAAAAGAAGATTAGTCACAAATTGACCACCAAAAACAAACCACAACCGGAAGGCACAAAGCGGGTTCAACATTCATCCCAAACCTATCCCGTCCTTTCTCCATCTCGCCTCACCCTCCCTCCCTCTCCGTAACTGACCTGCTGAGGCTGTTGCTGTTCTGTTTCGGCATGTTGATGGTGATATCCTCCAGACCCCGGTGGACCGACACGCTGTCCGACGAGTCGTGCGCCATTGAGCGAGCCTCCATCGCCTTCAGGTATTCGAGCGTCGCCAGCGTCTCACGGGTCGGCTTACGGTATCTGGCAAGCGCGGGAATAGTGGATTGACCAACAGATAAAACAAAAAAACCTTATCCTTATCAGTTATCGTCATATTATTGACGCTAGAATCATATGTGAGAGAAATCAACGCACCTCTAAGAAGAGCAACTAAGAAACGACGTTGGCTGTCGTAGAAAGGACGGTGCTTGTGTGATCAGTGACTACGTGATACACCCATGACCCAGCCATAGATCCCTGTATACCGAGGTAAATACAGAGGTCTATGACCCAGCAAATAAAGGTCACAGTCAGTTAATCTGTGCCAGACGTCGACTTGCCCAGAACCACATCCACAGCCATGCTAATCAATGTATGACGGGGCAATGACCGTGTGGGTAAAGTCTGACAGCCGCGAAATTACATTACCAATTATAGGAAATTATAAGAGTGATTAACGTGACAGATGCCATACAGTCAACTATTGCTGATACATTAGTTCCACGATATGCAGCACAAGCCTTTAGTGTTCTATTCTTTGCGCTCTCAAAAGCCGGGGTTATGGCTTAATATGCAAAACAGCCTGCCACTTGTATCATTAACTGCTATCCGTCCGATATTCAATGCGCGTCAGAATAGTTCGTTTGTCATCGAGTGGCTTATTATTCAGTTTGTTTGAGCGGGATCAGTTCTGCCATGCAAAGCCAAAAGCGATTACGTCGGGTCAGCCAGCGGTCATTACCTCAGGCCAGAGGTCACCCAAATGTAATCGGTTTTACCTTGTACGGCAGAGTTGGTTGCTAAGCAGACTAGCTACAGTTCGTGCGACTGATTAAGTAGTAACTAACTAGTTAACCGTCATGCGAGAGACAACTAACTCATTATCTGGGTGCATTCGAGTGGCACCTAGCTCACTATCGTGTGTAATCGAACGCCGACCGACTCACAGTTTGAGAAGTAGTGACGAACAGACGACAGATACGGAGCTGAGAGCCATGGCAGCCGACCCCATCCACGGCTGGAGCACCAGGCCCCAGGGCCGGAACACGCCCGCCGCCAGCGGAATGCCTGCAGAGGGGTGACAGTAGGGTCAGACTGGGTCAGCTCACCAGGCCCCAATAGCGGACACGCCGGCCGCCAGGGGGATACCTGGAGAGGGCAGTCACAGTAGGGTCATGCAGGGTCAGCTCACCAGGTCGGGGGGGGGGGGGCGGAATCACTGAGAGTCAGCTCACCAGGCCCCAGGGGCGGAACACGCCCACCGCCAGGGGAATACCTAGAGAGGTAACGGCGTGGCCAGATACGGTCAGCTCACGGTCATATTTCATCACACATTTTATCTGGTACTGTTACCGTGATGTTGAAGGGCTTCAATAAAACACTCCAGCATCTATTCAACAAGCACAATAGAAATACGAAGGTTATACATTCAATTTAAACATATTAATAACACTGCGAGACACCACGTACCGACGAGGTTGTAGATGCTGGCGAAAATAAAGTTCATTCGTATCCTCTTCACGGTTCTCCGCGACAAGTCCAGGCATCCGATCACGTCCAGAAGGTCGTTCTGGGGAGTAAGGAGCACACGTTACTGTCTAGGTTAATCACATTACTGTCCCGCGCGGACACAGCACGGGTTTACAGCTCTCCGCGGCAGCTGGTCCGGACACCAAATCATGTCCAAAAGGTCGTTCTGGACGGCAAGCACATGGGAAAATCGCACACAACTGTCTGCGGTAGACGTCAAGGCACATGCATACATCTGTCCAAGGACGTCTGCATTGTACCACAGTCACCTGATCTAATCGGTCGCTGAGCGAAGCCACGGGCGTCACTCAGCGACCCCCCAACGACAGACTCTATCGTTGAGTGGACTGTGTCATTAGATTTAGTCGATCGACAGGTCTATATCCCATTCCAATAGATTTTTGAGTGAACGCTTCCTTTACTTGACAGTGTGACATCGGTATATTTCGGATATTGCCAGCGATACTACAGCATTCCCTAAGCAAGTCAGGCCCTAGCCGTTAATAATATAGTTAACTATAAGACGTACCGGCATATACGACATCATGCAATGTCCCCAATGCAAAACCTAAGAATCGCTCCTTGCAAAAGTGTATTAAATCACGATTACAGGTGTTTGATTACAGGCTTAGATCGCTTCCGGTATGAAACTAACAGTTCCAATTTTCAATATTTCCCATCGACTTGTAATAGTGAAGTCACGTGACCAGCTTGACTCCAGGTGAAAGTTAGGAAAGTTGGAGGAAATGGTGTGAAATCTCAAGAGCCAATACTACAGGGTGATTGTTTTTACAGGGCAAAACGTTTTTAAGCCTAGAGATACCAAAACATATAACAAACGCCAAAAAAGTATATCCATGTGAAAGGAAATTGTTTGTCATTTTGTTTTCAGGGCCCTGTTTCAGCGGTGATAGCAGCACGCTGCTATCACACGTGTCAAATTGGGTTTCCATGGAAACATCAACAAACCATGGCGTCGTCAAACTGTGTGATGTCATCAAATATTGCTGCTAACACCTTCACGGCCGTGCGATCAAATCAAACGCATTCAACGACACAGCAACTCTGTTCCAAACGTAGCTATGAAAAAGCTCACGGATTACACGAAACGTCATTACTGTGGCGTCACCACATTACGTCAGCTCGCGCAATTTGATAGTAGCGTGCTGCTATCACCGGTGAAACAGGGCCCTGGACCTTTTAAAGACTTCTTGGGACTCATTCTGTTGTGAAGTTCCGTGAAAATGGCGCACAACAAAATGTTTTCCCCAAAATCGCCAATTACTCCAGGCTTGCGTGCATTAAAACTGTGCTCACTTCGAGCACGTTCTGTAAGCCTAAACGGAGCACAAACTCAAAGTTTGTGTGTGCAAATGAAATGTCAGAATGTGCTTTTTACAAAGATATACATTTGCTGTCAGTTGATCTGTTTTCTGGTACCGCCATTGCTCTTTACTTTTTGCCCTGTATAAAAAATCACCCAGTATGTGCCGTTACTTGTTTCATCCCCTGCAAAAGATAACGTGATCCCATCTCCCTATCACTAACCCTCATCAGCACGATGCTGGCCGCCTCGACGGCCACGTCCGTGCCCGATGAGATGGCGATGCCGACATCGGCCTGGGTCAGAGCCGGTGAGTCGTTGATACCGTCCCCGACCATGGCCACCCGCTGACCCAGCGACTGCAGCTGCTGGATCTTCTTCACCTGAGGAGATACACGGACGCAAAGGTGAGCGGTGAAGTAGGCTGAGGTGCGGTGGATGGAGATTAACAATGGAGAAAGAGAAACCATCACTAGAAAGGTTTTAGGAAATGCCGAGAAAAAGGCAAGAATCGACATAAGTGAATGTATCAGGATAAGAAACAACCAGAAGGCATAAAATCCGGCATTCTCAGAGCACACCACTTTCCAGATAATGTAACGTCATCAGCACTAGCATTTTCCACACCACACATCATACTTTCGACTTCTTTTCCCTCCTGTCTCACCTTGTGCGAAGGCAGCACCTCAGCGAACACGCGAGCGATGCCGGCCTGGCGCGCGATGGCCGCCGCCGTCTTCTGGTTATCTCCCGTCAGGAGGATCACCTCCAGACCCATCCTCTTCAGCGTGTAGACGGCCAGGTGTGCCTCGGGTTTGACGGTGTCGGCCACGGCAAGCATGGCCACCAGCCGGCCGTCGACGGCGCACAGGATGGCCGTGTGACCGCGCTCCTCCTGTGCGCGCATCCCGGCGTCGGCGGCCATCGGTACATCCAGGCCGTTCTGCTTCATCCACTCGCGGTTACCGATCAGAACCTGGCGGCCAGACGGGGGGGGGAGGGGGAGGGGGAGGGGAGCAAGATGTAGGGAGGTGATGGTAGAATTGGACTGACACCTCACATACCTTCAATCATGTTCATCGTCAAATTACAGCCTGGCGGAGCGGCTACAAAGAAAGACAAGCTCGAGACTTGAAGTCAGCTCATGCCTCATAGTCGATAGGAGGGCGGAGCAGATAGAATGACATGACAAACATCCTTCCATCTTTATCCTAATCTAGCAACGCAACAACCTGTCGTCTGCAAACTGCAAATAGCGCCTACTCGCCAAATGGCACGAGAGCTGTTGATCGCTGCTCACCTTGTACTGTCTCTGCGGCTGCTGCGACCCGTCCAGATCCACTAGGTCGTCGGCAGGGGGCCGGCCGCCGCCCACCTCCGGTAGGAACTCCACCGTAGCCTCGTTCAGCGTCAGAGGCGCCTTGTTGGCCGGCGGATACTGGTAACTGCACAGAGGTGGGTGATAATCGTTAGAATATCGCGGTTGTGGGAATCAAAAGTAATGCATCTCGATGCATAATTAGCTGACAACTCTGATAAAGTAAGCGAAACTACACTCGATGTTCTGTAATTCAAAGACGATGGGTTATTTTTACGCTTTCAATGTCGAAAAACTTGCCATCAACAATGCAGTGCATTGTCATAAGAACAATACACGCTAGCAACGCCATTCCCAGGGTAACGTCACTGCAATCATCACCGCTACAGCTATCACTCCCCCACTGACCCAGTGGATGCAGCCGGCCGCTGGTTAAGCAGGTTCCTGATGGCCTCTGCCCTGTACCCCGCCGACTCCATGGCCTGAACGCTGGACACGACGCAGCTGACGCCGAACCCGGAGACGGCCTGGAAGCCGTCACACGAGCCGACAGAGTCCACAGACAGGGTGGACTTGACGTAACGCACCACCGCTGAGGGCACAGGGGGCGGGGGATGGGAGTTAGGGATACGACGGGCGGTGTGACACGAGAGGAGGGAGTGGCATGTCAGGTTACCGTCCAGATTTATCATACCAATACACTCAGGGTACGATATCGAAGCTCCCCGGAAAACCATAGCCCGGCAAAATATCCTACCGATTTGCAGCTCTCTATAAGACCGTCAGAGTACCCATCCAGAGCTGAGGTTTGCACCAGTAGCGACTCTCACCGTGTGCTATGGGACGTTCCCTGCTCTGACCGTGCGCTATGGCCTCTGGCACCCTCCCTGTGTACGTTATACTGCTGACTTCTGGACCTCTTACCATGCGCTATGGGATGCTCGCTGCTTGCCTCTGCCGACCCCACCAGTGCCAGTATTCTGGGCAGCGGGCAGACGGCCTCCTCGGTGTATACGGCTAGGTGGGTGAGAGACGGCACACCGCGGGTGATGGTGCCAGTCTTGTCAAACACTACACAGCGCACCTGGGGGAACAGAGACGGGGGGAGGTTAGTCAGGAGGAGGGTTTAACAAACACCACACAGCGTACCTGGGAGGACGAGGGTTAGTCAGGCGACGGAGGGGTAAGCTCAAGGAGGGAAAATGGTGCCATCCGAGGTGCTAATACAAGTTTTCTTTAGAGCATCCATGTGGCTGTTTAACCAAGTAACGCGCCTTGTTAGTTATACCGCTACACGGCAGCTGTGACCCAAAACATGGGATTGAGCGTGTGCGACGGCTAGCCAAGCTAGATTATCGAAAAAGCAATAACGCGATGTCACACGTCATCTTCATACTTTTTGCCAAAAAAAAAGCTCAACAAAAGCACATAAGGTATTTGTCAACGAGACGAACAGCCTAACACACATCTCCTAAGCAAAGCTTATTAATCCCTGACACGTTTAAGCAACCACACTATTCCACTCGAACTTGTCCACCTTACTCCCTCCCCCCGGGACACCCACCTTGTGGGCGTTCTCCAGTGCCTCGGCTCCTTTGATCAGGATTCCGTTGAGCGCTCCCACGCCCGTGCCGACCATCACAGCCGTCGGGGTGGCCAGACCCAGGGCGCACGGACAGGCAATCGCCAGCACCGTCAGAGCGAAACGGAACGAGAACTGGAATATTACCTCGTCCCGAGTCTCGCCGTGAACAGAGGTGCCCTGAAAAATTGCACAAAACAAAGCGTGGTTGTGAATACGGCGTCGAAGTGCACATACGTGCGTTACAAATTTGTCACAGCCTTTCAGTTTACAGAAAACAGCCGTGAACTGAGGAAGCTAATTAGAAAGGACCTGGGGATGAAACAAGAACAATCAGCTTTCATCAAGCTACGGGGGAAAGTAAATCGTAATTAAGGCGAGAGCACCAGTGTTTACTGAAGCCCCCTTATGACTCTGCTGTACTCCCATTAACCAATCCCTCGACATCCAGACTGGGACCGTCACATACTCACATTGAACTGCGGATCGATGTAGTGAATATCCACGTATCCGGCGATGGTCCAGCCGATCAGCGTCGTCAGAGACACAGAGACCACGATAGGGATGAAGTAGCCTGTTAAAGAACAGACACACAGCATCACCGTTCCGTGCTTCTATCCTCAGGATACTGAAATCCTTCTCCTCCACGCCGCAACCCCCCTCCGGGCTGGACAGGCAACTTTATCTCATGCGGGCTGCTCCCTTGGAGCGGCACCGCTGCTCCCGAGGGAGCGCACCCCGTAGCCGGGTGCAGTGAGTGCCTTGGGGCTGGGTGGCCTGTCCTCTGGACGGGCTCAGCCCCGGCGACTCACTAGGATGCCTGCCCAGACCAATGTCTCCCCCATATCCTATCATCCTCCCGGCTCTGAAATGGTCTCATTGGACCGATGATGATGATGATTTGGTGTTTTAGGGCGCACCAGCAACGAGGCTATATGGCGCCCATATCTAACCAATCTTCCTCAAAGTCGGGGGTTAAAAATCACCTGAAGCCCGGAGGCCGTGATGAACGAAAAGAGGCGAACGGAATCGAGAAAAGGGGAGTCGTCGCGGAGAAGTGTTCTCAAAGAGAGCTGGGGGCCACGCAATCCAAAAAACCGCAATCGCTCAGCGTCCAGTCTCGGGCACTCGACCAAGACGTGTCGGACCGAAAGTCGGTCACCACATCTGGTACAAATAGGCCTGGAGCCAACGCCGATAAGGAACCCATGGGTGCCATAAGTGTGCCCGGTACGAAGCCGGCAGAGGACCACCTCCTCGCGTCGCGATCTGCGTGAGGCCGACAACCAGGTAGCTAAACCTGGCTTGATACGTAAAAGTTTGTTACCGTGGGATTGGCTCCAGGCCTCCTGCCACTTTCCGAGGAGGAAAGAGCCCACCGCCGGTACAAAGTCCCTGGCGGGTAGAGGGAATCGGCGGGAGCACAGATACTGCGCAGCATGGTTCGCAGCTCGGTCCGCCCGTTCGTTGCCGTGAATACCGACGTGGCTAGGGATCCAGCAAAAAGACACCGACGTACCCTCTCGGTCGAGGGCTGTCACACGAAGAAGAATCTCCTGTGCGAGGGGGTCAGAAGGGTAGAATTGTGACAAGGACTGGAGACCACTCAATGAGTCAGAAAGAATAACATATGACCGAGCGGGATTAATCTCGATAAAACACAGGAGTTTGAGGATAGCGACCAATTCGCAGGAAAAAACGGATGCATGTTTAGGTAAGGTAAAACACCGCACAGCGTCGCCGCAGACGAAAGCACACCCGGCACCGTCATCAGTCTTTGAGCCGTCAGTATAACAGGCTATGTAGTCAGAGTACCTTGAAATATGTTCCAGCGCACGAGCCTTTAAAACAGCTGGAGGGATGTCGCCTTTTCTCACATCGGTGAGGGAAAGGTCCACCTTTGGCGGGACTTGTCTCCACGGTGGGACAGATGGCCACTCCTTACGCATGACCCCCCGAAGTTTAATTTGAGCTTCCGAGAGCAGCGATTGCATACGAGAGCAGAAAGGGGGGTAGCGGACAGTACGTGCACCTTCTCCGGTTCTGAAAAGCGCCAGGTTGGCACGTGAGAAAACTGCATCATAGGCAGGGTGGGAAGGCAACTGGCGGAGTTTTATGGTATATCTCATGCCCAGTAGCTGGCGACGCAAGGCAAGAGGGGCTCGTGGGCCTCTACAAGGAGGCTGGCTACTGGGGTGGTCCGGAACGCACCAGTGGCAATACGAAGAGCAGTATGGTGCACAGAGTCCAGAATACGTTTCGAGGTCTCCGTGGCGTTATCGTATATAAAACAGCCGTAGTCAAGTCTAGAACGGACAAGAGCACGATAAAGCAAGAGCAGTGTCTTACGATCCGCCCCATAGCAGGTACGCGCAACACATTTCAAAACATTCATAGCTCGAAAACATCGGTCGCGGAGCTCTTTCAGGTGAGTGCGGTAGGTAAGACGGCTGTCTATTACCATCCCAAGAAACTTCACCTCCGACTTCACAGGGATCACTGCACCCCTTAGCCTGACAGAGAAGTCAGGGCAATTACGGCGAAAACGGCAAAAGTGGACACCTACAGTTTTGGCTGTCGAGAATCGTAGTCCGTTAACAGCACTCCAGTTTTCTAATCTTTTAATTGCCAACTGGAGCTGTCTCTCTACTATACGTGTGGTTGCACCACTGGCCCAGATAGAGAAGTCATCCACAAAAAGGGCACGGCCAATGGAAGGGGGCAGGTGATCGGCAATATCGTTAATCATTACCCCGAACAGCACAACACTTAGGACTCCTCCTTGGGGGACACCGTTGACCTGGGGGAACTGCTCTGAGAGGTTGCCACCGACACGGACTCTGAAAGACCGGTTAGATAAAAAGCTGGCGAGGAAATGGCCCATTGTACCGCGTATACCGTACTTGAAAAGCTTTTGTAAAATACCGAAACGCCAAGTGGTATCATACGCAGCCTCAATGTCGAAAAACAATGCACCAATGTGTCGCTTCCGCCTAAATGCGCAACGAACCTCGGTATCAAGGGCTAAAATGTGATCTACTGTGCTCCGATACTTTCTGAAACCGCACTGCGAGTTAGATAAAACACCTTGTTCCTCCAGAAACCAGACGAGACGCGCGTTTACAACTCGCTCAAGCAGCTTGCCCAGGGCAGATGTCAACGCAATAGGGCGGTAGTGAAGCGGATCAAGCCCGCTTTTACCAGCCTTCAGCACCGGGATAATGATGGCCGTCCGCCATGTTTCGGGATACAGCCCTCTTTCCCAGAGCGCATTGAAAAGATGGAGCAATGCTTCAAGTCCCGGTGACGGGAGACGCCGAAGCATCTCATTGTGTACAAGATCAGGGCCTTCTGCGACACACTTCAGGCCACCTATAGCGGACTTTAACTCTTCCATAGTAAAGGGATCATTGTAGCTAAAATGTTGTGATGTGTTAAAATTGACGCCAGTCGATTCGCACCGAGCACGATGGCGGGCGAAGTCGGGGTCAGAACAGTCACCGACACAGCGGTCATGTAACGCACGGCCTATTTCGTACGCTACATCAGCTGGGTTCAACACATTTCTGCCAAACACACTCAGAACAGGAAGAGGGGATGAGGAGAAACGACCTGATATACGTTTTATACGGGACCAAACCTCGGAGATTGGCGTGAATCTGTTAAGCTGGCTGATGTATTCCACCCAGGATTCGTGTTTAGCTTTCTTGACCGTCCACCTAGCGAACGCTCTGGCTTTTCTAAACGCGATCATGTTTGCGGTGGTGCAGTTATGCCTGAAAGCGCGCAGCGCTCGTTTCCGCGCTCTGATGGCGTCTCGACACGCATCGGACCACCATGGGACCGGCCGGCGAGAAGGCGCCCCCGATGTACGAGGAATGGATGCCTTGGCTGCTTCAATGAGTAAGGAGGTGAAATCGGTTACTGACAGATCATCTGTAGGGTCAGATGAGAGAGCATCCTCCAAGCACGTTTGAAATTTCTCCCAGTCTGCCCTCCGCAGGTTCCATCTCGGTGGCCGGCAGCCAACCGAGGGCCGCTCACGCAGTTCAAGCCATATGGGGAAATGGTCACTACCAAAAGAGTCCGCGTCCACTCGCCACGTAAAAAGCGGCACAAGGTGTGGACTGACAAGGCTGAGATCTAGAACTGATGAATGTCCCGACGGCATGGTGAAATGGGTAGCAGCACCAGTGTTTAAAACACAAAGGCCCTCCTCGTCTATCAAGGACGCTAAAAGTCGACCGCGTGTACACACAGAATCACATCCCCATGCAGAGTGGTGAGAGTTAAAATCACCCAGAAGCATCACAGGTGGAGGGAGCTCGGCAATTAGCCGGCGTAGTTCCAGAAGAGGAAGAGCTGCGCCAGGGGGACAGTAAAGTGAGCACACAGTGATGTCACGCTGGCCTAGATGAATGCGGACCGCTACCGCCTGAAGGGGCGAGCTTAAATCAATACATCTCGCAGGCACGGCGTTATGGACCAGAACCATAACACCTCCGTGCGCGACGGTTTCAGTAGCAAGGTCCCTGCGAAAAACCGAAAATCCTTTCATGGGGAACCTGGACTCAGATCTGAGTTTGGTTTCTTGGATGCAAGCAACCAAAGGTCGCTGAGAGCGGATTAGTGCTTGCAGTTCTGGAGTGCTAGAACGCAAGCCTCTGCAGTTCCACTGCAGGATAAAACGTGTTATTGCTGTAGTTTTGAGCGCTTGGGGTAAGCGAAAGGTGTCTAAAACTGGCGACTTTGACTTGAGTTAAAAAAAGGCGGGGACTTAAAAATGCTCCTCGCCACCGGGGCCCGGGCCACCGCCAAAGGCTACCTTTGGATGGCCCTCGCGGAGCCGTCCATCGGCCGACCTAGGCCGGCCCGTAGCTCCCGGTTGAAACTTCAGCCGCGAGCGGGGGCTACCATCGTTTGACGGAGATAACTCCCACGGAAGTGTGCGCTTCGTGGGGCGGCCCGGGGCGGGCGGCGGCCCCGCCGGTCTCGGCTCCGATGGTGGTGTGCATGGCGGGGGTCGGGGTCCCGACCCCTCGCCCGAGGCGGGCACCGGAGGGGCACCAGAAGGACGCTGTGAATGGGGTGGAGGGAGTGGAGGAAGTGGAGGGGGTGGAGGGGGTGGTGGTGGCGGTGGGAGCGGGGGTGGGGGAGAAAGTGGAGGGGGCGGAGGAGGTGGAGGGGGCGGAGGAGGTGGAGGGGGCGGAGGTGGAGGAGGGGGTGGAGGGGTAGGGGGAGGTCCCATCAGAGGTGACGGGGCCGCCCCCGGCCCACCAGGACCTCCACGGACAGAGGACGCTCGACGCTCCTCAAGAGCCTGGGCCATCCTCCGCCCTAGTCTGGCGTCCTGCTCAAGCCGCTCCTCCCGACCGCGGCGCAGAGCCGCCATGACTGCAGTCTCCCTGGGCGGGGGTCGACGGATCTCCGGAGACGTGAACGGGGTCCGTTCGACAGAGCGCGGCGGTGGGGGCGGGCCCCGGCGACGACCCCGGGCGAGGGTCCACTCACCACCCCGCGGCGTGGCCGTATCCTCGGGGGCGGCTGAAGCCTCCACCCCCGCCCCAGTCTCATCCTCTCTTCCTCCCCCACGGGAGGGGGACGAGACTCCTCTCCTCCTGCTTGGCGACGTCTGCGTGGCGGAGCACGACAACGCTTTAGGGGGCTCCTGTTGAACTGATGAGTTGCTGTGACTGTTGGCATCTGGGACAAAGCAGAAGCCGAATGACTTCAGAATCGCTATTAACTGACCGATGCTGTTGTTGGTATCAGTTTCAGTGGGGCAGCGCTGTCTAGAACCGTTGGCCACACTAGCATAAGACCGCTTGGGATGGAGGGCAGCAAAGCGGTCTCGGGCCTGACGAAATGACAGCCTTTCGGTGACCTTCAGGGACATTATTTCTTTTTCTCTCTGGAGGGCCGGGCATCGCCCATCAAACGAGGAATGTGGAGTCTGAGAGTCGTCACAATTGACGCATCTCAACTCGGACGACGAACATTCGGCACTGCTATGGTCATTTGCCGCACAGCTCCCGCATGCTGGTCTGTTCCGACAGCTGTCTCGAGTGTGACCGAATCGGAGACACTGAAAACAACGCATGGGACTCGGGACATATGGTCGAACTTTCACGGACAGATATCCTATCATCACCTCCCTCGGCAGTTCCAGCGAGTTGAAAGTCAAAATGATACTGTGCGTGGGTGCGAGAGCGCCACTTCTCTTGGTGTAGATGCGGCGGGCGGCGGAGACCCCAAACTGTGACAGGCCTTCGGCGATCTCGTCGTTTTGCATGCCCTCCAGATCGTCGCAAAAAATGACCCCTCGGCTGGAATTTTTCGTGCGATGCGGCGAAACGCTGACCGAAAGGTTTACTTCCTTTCTGCCCTGCTGATCCTTAACTGTGTATGTGAAGTGAGTAGCTTTCAGGGCCCTTTCCGCCTCTCTATCGTCAACAAACTCTACTTCGATGCCTCCGTCTCTAAGTTTTTCACACCTCGCAATCTTACCAAATCTGTCACAGCCCTCTCGTCTCTGAAAGGGAGACAGCGACGCGAGTTTTCGTTCGTCGGATGTGAATATAAGAACTTTTGGTCGTGCTCCACCGACTGCACTAGGTGCAAGGGGTTCAGCCGAGGCTGTGGTCCGTGGGGGTGCCAAGTGAGAATCCATGGAAAGTGTAATTGTTTCGGTCCCGCAGCCTCCCACCCACCTCGGAGCCCAACTGGGGGACGGCCACACTCCCCCGTAGGGTGGTGGTCCGCCAGGAGTACTGCAGGACTATACGGGGGCCGGGACGCCAAAAGCAGCAAGACGAAGCCGCCGGGTACGGGGCCGCGTGAGCCGCGGCCGCCGCAGAGCCATGCGGCACGGGACCGGACCTGATCCCGCGCGCGGACATGGATACGGTGGCGCTAAGCCCCGCGCTGAAGGAATCAGGCGGCCCCTGCACCCGGCGGCAGCCCCCCGCATACCCGTCGCCCAGCCCCCTTGACCCCGATTAGCCAGTGCTGCACAGGGCGACGCCTGACCGGCCGATTTCCCTCATGCGAGGCCAACATGGGGCATCCCGCAGATCCGGGGATTGGCGCCAAAGGCATGTGTTGGAAGGCTGCCCCGACTAACCCGCAGGGCAGCCCCCTCAACGCCCAGACATCCTCTCCCCGGTCTTTGGGCCGAAGGTACGGCTAGACCGATAAAACCAGGGGAACCAGAGAACAAAGAAGATGAGCGAGTGCATAAAAAAAACTGGGGGAAGCGTGCGAAACCGATGAGGCAAGCAGCCTGCAAGACCGGTACAGCGTAGGAAAACTGAAAACGCAATCAACGCGAGTATCCGCAAAAAAGGCAACAGACAGGTACAAAACAACCAAGAGCAATTCACGTGAAAAGAGTGCAATGCAGCAAACTGGCAATGGAATCGTGCACAAGGAAGATAAGCAAGTGTAAAAAAAAAAAAAACTGGGGAAGCGTGCGGAACCGGTGAGGCAAGCAGCCTGCAAGACCGGTACAGCGCAAGAAGACTGAAAACGCAGCCAATGCCAGTGACCGCAAAAGAAATATGGGCAACAAACGGGTACAAGACGACCAAGAGCAATTCGCGTGAGAAGATGGCACGATTAGAGACTGGAATCGCATTATGCAATGGAATCGTGCACAGAGAAGATGAGCAAGTGTTAAAAAAAAACCTGGGAAGCGTGCGAAACCGATGAGGTAAGCAACCAAATGAGTGCAAACCAGCCAGGTGAGAAGACGGCAACGAGGCCGACTGGCAATGGCATTGGGCAAACATCAAATCCAGCAAATGTGGGCAAAGTCAAGATCACACATATGGCAATCAACGCGAGTATCCGCAAAAAAGGCAACAGACAGGTACAAAACAACCAAGAGCAATTCACGTGAAAAGAGTGCAATGCAGCAAACTGGCAATGGAATCGTGCACAAGGAAAATAAGCAAGTGTAAAAAAAAGAAACTGGGGAAGCGTGCGGAACCGGTGAGGCAAGCAGCCTGCAAGACCGGTACAGCGCAAGAAGACTGAAAACGCAGCCAATGCCGGTGACCGCAAAAGAAATATGGGCAACAAACGGGTACAAGACGACCAAGAGCAATTCACGTGAGAAGATGGCACGATTAGAGACTGGAATCGCATTATGCAATGGAATCGTGCACAGAGAAGATGAGCAAGTGTTAAAAAAAAACTGGGAAGCGTGCGAAACCGATGAGGTAGGCAACCAAATGAGTGCAAACCAGCCAGGAGAAATTCGCGTGAGAAGACGGCAACGCGGCCGACTGGCAGTGGCATTGTGCAAACATCAAATCCAGCAAATGTGGGCAAGGTCAAGATTACACATATGTGTATCTAGGGCTGAGGGGGGGGGGGGGGGGCGCTATTCCACTTCACCCGAGTGTGTCCGTGCGGTGCGTGAGAATGCAGAAAAGGCAACCAATGAAAATGCTCGCAAGAAAGCTGGGCAACAGACAAGTGCAAAAACTTAGTGCAAACCACGTGAGAAGACGGCAAGGCAGTATAAGCTGGCAGTGAGGAGAAACACCCGGAAGGAGCGGAACCGGGCGCAAAAAAGACACTCATCAGACACAAAGGGAAAAAAAGAAACCAAGAAAGGTCTGACTTGTCGTCTATCAATCCAGGGTCGAGTCCGGTTGTAATCGAGCATGAGTCAAGCTGGGGCCGAGGGGGCGCTACTCCCCTTGCTGGCGGAGGTCAGGGCCGCCGCAGGACGCGGGCCCAAGGAACCCAGGCCACCGCCAGCCCCCTGCGGGGCCAATCTTGCAGAAAATCCATCCGACAATCAAATCAGAGCCGAGGTCAAACGCAAGTCAAGCTGGGGCCGAGGGGGCGCTACTCCCCTTACTGGCCGAAGTCACAGCCGCCGCGAGGCCAGAGCCCAATGGTCCCGGCCAAGCAACGGCTCTGACCACGGTCAGCCCCCTGCGGGGCTCATTGGACCGAAAGGGCCTAACCCAACAAAACAAACAAAAACAAAAAAGACACACAGCGTCAGATGAAAGAAGATCAGAATACGGACGATGCAAAGAGGTCATGCAAGCGTAGCTAACGGTTCCACTACCAAAGTCAACAAGACTTGCTATTTTAACAGTTTTCGTCCATTTACTCCTCACTCAAACGAACCCATCAATATCCAAAACCCCATCTATGAAACTCATCGGACCCGAAGAACGAAATCCTCCTTTCCAGCCCAGGTACCCCACAGCGCGTCACGCACCTGCCACCTTATCCGCCAGCTGCTGGATGGGCGCCTTGCTGGTCTGCGCCTCCTCGACCAGCTGGACGATCTGCGCCAGAGTGGTGTCCTGTCCCACGTGCGTCACCTCCATCAGCAACGTGCCGTTCTGGTTGATGGCGCCGCCGATCAACTGGGAGCCTGATGAAGGAGGTAGGAGGGCGAGGCTCAAAGTAATGCAAAGAGCGGGGAGGTATGATGGTGTTACAGATCAAGGACAATGCACGTGGCGGTATGGTAGCAGACAATCCGACTAGCCCGTGCTCATGTGTATGCAATGTAAGAAAACTAACGTGTCTCGACCATTCTCCATAGTCCATTCCTACAACTACTGATTGTTCTGAATGTGTGCTTTCGTATATCTACTGGATGATCGTGCGTGCACTTCAAGAAAAAAAAAGCGACGAAAAGAGGCATTGCGCGGGATACTGACCTGGCTTTTTGGCGACTGGCATGGACTCTCCAGTGATGAGGGACTCGTCACAGAGCGAGCTGCCCACGATCACCCGTCCGTCCACGGGCACCTTGGCGCCAGGAACCACCTGGAAAGGAGCGGGCGCAGCGGTGAGAAACTAAAATTGGTAGGTAAAATTACTACTGCGCCACAAGTGAAAAATTGTACGCAGTCATGGAGGTGTGTGTGTGGGGGGGGGGGGGCAGCGGCAGAAGCGCTCGTCCCCACAATTACTTGTCTTTTCAGTATATTACCTTGTCAATACCTGCCCTTTTACACAGTTCTCATATATTGACCTATTCCCTCTAAAAACGTCGTTGCCTGTCCATTTAGGCATTTAGCACGTTTCCTGCCAAAATTCGTCCCTTTGGCAATCATTGCAAATAATAACCGTAACGTGAGCACCCCCTGTCGCCCTCTCATCACGTCCTCAGCTCCGTACCTTGAGCACGTCTCCGCGGTGGACCAGCTCGACGGCAATGCTCTTCTCGGACAGAACCTCTCGGTTGTCGCCTAGTGAGACCAGTAGCGCCTCGGTCGGCTGGAGGGAGATCAGCTTCGACAGCGCCTCCGACGTCTTACCCTGCACGTTAAGACAAACGAGTTACTGCCTAATGAATGACAGAGATGAAGCAAGGGGAGATAGTACAACACCATATAGAGGCGTCACTGTCAGCGTATAGACACGGTCAGCGTTGAAAAAAGGCATCGATGCCACCAGGCATCCACCCGTTCATGCAATGACAATAAAACAAGACCCAGATGATGGCTCTTACCTAACGAGTAGAACCCGAATTAGTGAGCTATAAATGAAACTCTCCACAAAATGATGCCCTTGTTGCATTTACCCAGCCTCCCTTCTCTCGATGACGACGATGATGATGAATTGGGGTTTTTGGGCGCCCGGACTACAGTGGTCATCGGCGCCCATCTCCCTTCTCTCCCAAATCCCTGCTCACCTTGGCGATATGCTCCAGCCACCGTCCGAGCGATACGAACACGAGCAGCATGGGCGGCGTGTCGAAAAACGTCATCGGACTGGCCGACTCCTGGAGGGCCATGGCGGCGACCACGACAGCCACCGAGTACAGGTAGGAGACGGTGGTGGCCAACATGATGAGGACGTCCATGGAAGCGGCGCCGTGGCGCAGCGACTTGATGGCCGCCACGTAAAAATGACGACCGCCGATAAACTGCCAAGGAGGGGGGAGGTGTTAGAGGGTAAAAGGGAGAAAAGATGGGCTGGTCGGTCAGTGGCCCCGGTATGCCAGGAATATTGAAGGGTTACAGGGCGTGAAAGTTGAGCTATACTGACATCGTGGGTTAATTTGAGAAGCGTTTTCTAAAGCATCAAGTTTACACATAAAGATGAAGGCTCCAAAAGAGCAAAACAACATTGCATCCACACTGAGGTTAACATGTAGAAGACATTATCACTTGAAACACAAAACCCATCACTGTCGTTTCTTGAAGACACATATCAAGCAACATATGATTACTTCAGTGTAGAGCCAATATCAATAATATCGACTAGCTACCAACAGCCCCCTCCTCATTCCCCCGTCACCACCTCACCTGTACGGGCGTGGCGAGGAGGAACATGAGCAGATTCTCCATGGACAGGCCGGGCACCACGCAGCACATGCTCTCGTGGCCCAGACGGCGCATGCGCAGCATGAAGAACACCATGATCAGCATGGCGGGCACGCCGAAAAACAGCGAGATCAGGAACGAGTTGCGCCACTTGGCGATCTCGGCGCGGTGATCCAGGTAGGAGGAGCCACGGGAGTCGCCCGAACGGAGCTCTGCCGAGAAACCCAGACTCTGCAACACAGGGGGTGGTGGGATGGGGGTGAGCCGCGGGAGTCGCCGGAACGGAGCTCAGCAGAGAAACCCAGACTCTGCAACACAGGGGTGGTGGGGGGTGAGCCGCGCGAGTCGCCCGAACGGAGCTCTGCCGAGAAACCCAGACTCTGCGGAACGGGGGGGGGGGGTGAGGGGGTTAGCCGCGCGAGTCGCCGGAACGCAGCTCAGCAGAGAAACCAAGGCTCTGCAACACAGGGGGTGGTGAGGGGTGAGCCGCGGGAGTCGCCGGGGCGGAGATCAGCAGAGAAACCCAGACTCTGAGGAACGGGGAGGGGGAGGAGGTGAGCTAGGGGAGGGGAGCACGGTGGACGCGGTGGCAAACTGAAATAGTTCTGCCAATCTTTTGAATTAAAAACACCAGGCAACTATTCATCGAAATGGGATATTACAAAAGTACATGTTTACGCTCCAATTAACGATCCTCTCGCCCACAACAAAATTATTATTTCATCGCATCGCCGACTGAAAACCAACAGTCACGTATCACACAACCTCTTCCATCGCCGGGAAGGTGGCTACCTTAACACGCGCAGTGGAAGGAGGGGGGGGGGGCGGATTTCGCCCACCCCTCCTGTTTTTCGCCAATAACTCGCGCCGCAAGCATAATATCAATGTGAAATTTCGGCTACCTGTCCAGAATTGAATTGCGGATCTTCTCGTGCGAGAAGTAAGAAAATAAGTTCATAACTTTTCTAATAATAGTGGTGTAAAGTCAAACATCCTGCCGCCGCGGCGGCGCGGCGGCCGGCGCTAGCCGTTACGCGCCGCCTGAATTGTAGACTGTGCCGGGGCGGGACGGTTCCGTCTTTACATCACGCTCCTTACCGCTGATTACATTAGATTCGCGTCAAATTCGGTGAGAAGACTGAGAAATGTACAGGCAATCATATGGTCAAAGAATTTTGAAAATCGGCCGGTAACAACTTGAGTTATGAGTGTGTAAACACAAAATTGTGATTGCCGCGTTTCCCGCGTCGGCCGATCCCGCTTCAGCCGGCGACATCTTACCCTTAGCAGGCTTCTAACTGCCATATTTATTGTTGGATTATCTAGAAATTCACCATACATACTCACAAATGTTTGTTCTTTCGTATAGTGAAAGATTAAAGAAAATTGGCCGGTAACTTTTTGAGTTATCGGCGTGCAAACGCAAAAATGTCGCTAATATGGCAGATTTGACCACATTTGACCTCATTTGACCTTGAAGATATTGACCTAGGGTCATGAAATTCACACACAACAGAGTTCCCCATGGCCTTCACCTACCCTCCAAATTTCGTCTTTCTAGCTCCAGTGGGAGCTGAGATCTTAGGGGGGGGCGACATCCGCCCCCCCTTCCACTGGGCGTAGTACTCGCAACCCTTCCACTGCGCGTGTTAAACGAACATTAGGCATAGCAAGACGTCAAACCACCGAATGGCGGAGGGAACAAAAAGGCTCCGTTCGCCCTGTCTTTCGGCAGCTGATCGGTGTCAAACATCCATCGGTGGGGTGAACAGCGAGTGCACAGGTGGTGAACGGGCGTCACCAGTCACTACAGCTACAGCCTACAGTCATCAGTCATCACCGATCGAACGTCACTTCTGTCGCCACAGGTGTCATCGTACCTGTACTAACCAAAGTTTTATATTAACCCAACTAGACTGTCTACCGCCCTCGGTCCACCGTCCACCGTCCACCATTCGCCATCCACCGCCACCGCCCGTCCTCATCCCCCTCGCACCGTCTGTCCCTTACCTTGATGGTGCCGATGATATCTCTCGGCCCGGTGATGCTGGGGTCGAATGTGATTTTACCGCGCTCGGTGGCCAGCGCCACGGTGGCCGACAGCACCCCCGGCTGACGGAGCAGGTTCGACTCGATCGAGTGCACGCACGAGGCGCACGTCATGCCGCGGATCTGTCGCGGGGGAAGAAGGGTCAGGGAAATTAGGGTCAGTGACGTATTATTTATCAATGCATTTAGTTTCCTACAAAGGTAAGCGTATCATTCATAATAACAAGAAAAGCATGTACAAGAAGCGTACGAGGAAAGATATATTCACCACTTCTCGGTGTCATCTATCATCGAAGCAATTCACTACCTAAACCACTCTAAAACCATCCACCACCCACCTCGAGTTCGACGGTGCCCTCGGGACTGTGGTTCTCCAGCAGCTCGGCTGGGAAGCCGATGTCCGAGATGTGGCCGGCGACCTGAGAGGGGAGCAGCACCGACGGGTCGTACTGCACCTCCGCCTTACCGGCCAGCAGCGCCACCAGGATCGAGTGGATGCCTGCGGGTGGGGAGAGGGGGTGGGGGGGGGGGGCGTATGAGACGGGGGAGAGAGCGATAGACGGCGGAGAGCTACAGCGCGATGGGAATAGTTACGCCTGGCCCTAACTGTATAAATGCACATTCACATTTTACCATCTACGGAAGTGAATGTTTGCAACAATTACAACTAACAGTTATATAAAAAAGTGGCCCTGCCATGACACTTCTCCCATCACCACGATGCTGTTCCTAAGCATGCGAATACCACCACACCAGTCACCGTCAACTCACCATCAATTTTGTTCATGTGTTTCTCGATGGCGCTGACACAGCTGGCGCACGTCATGCCGCGAATGGAGACAGTGCACGTCTCCACGTCATCAGAGGGCGCTGCCGAGCGGGCGGACTTCTCCGGCGAGCGGGACGGCCTGTCTGGCGAGCGGGAGGGTCGGTCTGGAGAGCGGGCCGCCCGGTCCGGACTCAGCAGAGGGTTGGTCGAGCTGTCTGTATGCAGGACTGCCGGCTGGTCGGCCGGAGAGCCGTTCGACAGAACTGGAGGCAGACAGTGTGATGTGAGGTGAGAACTGAGAAGGTGCAGGTTGAGCACGGCGGCGATTTAAGGGTATGATGCGTGGCATCGCAGATAAAACTAAAGCGAAGTGATCACAACACTCCTTCGATAATATGACTAGCACGATCGTTTCTGTCGGTTAAAACCATAAAACTGAAAAGCTGAAGCAATACCAACACTCAACAGTCAGAGAAACCGTCAGACAGAAACCGAACAGTATCCAAGCCACAGCTCTCCCCATTCACCAGCCAACTCTCAGTAAAGTAGCACCCCTCTCACCCGTAGCGTCTCCGCCGGATGTCTTCAGCGTGGCCCTGAACTTGCCGATGGCGTTGACGAACTTCTCCAGGGCGGCCGGCGTGGTCAGTTGCGGGTTGTAGGCGATTACGCCCTCCTTCTCATCCAGGTAAACCTAAAGCGAAAAATGTGGTGAGCAGTGACGGTGCGGGGGGATAGGGAGAGTAACGGAGACGATCTAAGGTGCCGCAATGGTTGGCTCAATTACCAAAATGGTGGCCAATTTATCCCCGCAGTATACCACAACAGACGACTGACTATTGATCGCTTATGCTGTAAAACTGCTAACGCGTAGTACTAACTTTATGACGTGTTATGCCCCTAGCACACATACATCATAGTAAACACCAAAACAGCCTGAACCCAGACACAAAAAAATCGTCCCTCAGCTTGCTCGGGTAAATAACACCAACATCACGTACTCCATATACCCTCGCCGCACTTTATCCGTCTTTCATCATCGCTCCACCGACTAATATCCCGGCGGAGTGCGGGTGTTCAACGTCCACCGGGCGTGGAGGCATCTCCAATAACGCCCGGCCCAAACCGACGGCTCGGCCACGTGGGTGGAATGACGCCACAGGTCAGCCCTCAGGACCGACGCCCCCCAGGGGATTTGGATTGGTTCCGAAATATCCAGAGAGTGGGCTGGGAGGTGGCGTTATCTGACGCAATGTCGCGCCGTTTCGGGGATTGTGTGCAGAAGTACTGCGTAATTTGGTCACATCCGGAGCCGGGGCACACCACCCGACGCCCCCCCCCCCCTTCTCCCCTAATGGCTCGTTAGGCCATCTGGAGCGATCATATCAGAATGAGTCTCATCGATGACACTAATAGACACCATAAAATGGTATGCTAGAATAATCGGAAATAATGAGGACTGTGACCCTCATTATTATCAACACCTTGATAAGACATCCTTGATTTTTTCAATTGACGGCATATATTACCATCCCCTCCCCATCCCCACAGTCAACATTCTTCAATGAACATCCCCCCCCCCTACCTCTCCCCCTGGATCCCCCTGGATCCCCTACCTCTCCGCCACCTACCTTCACTCGGATGACTCCCGACTCTGCCGACACCTTTCCCTCGATGTTGTTGACGCACCGCTGGCAGCTCATATTCTCAATGGTCATCCTGCACTCGAGTTCGGTGGCCAGCTGCGCGCCGAAGCCCAGCTCCTTCACCCAATCCACCAGCTGCTGGTCACTGATCGGACCGACCACCTCAAACTGTCCGACGGCGGCGGCCAAATCCACGGAGACGCGCCGCACGCCCGGCCGCTCGGCCACCGTCCGCTCGATTTTCCGCACACACGACTGGCACGTCATGCCGCTGATGGAGAGGTGGACGGTGCGCGTGCTGCTGGGGACGTCCCCTCCGCCGCCTCCGCCGCCGGGAGAGGTGCCGGCAGCACCGCTGGCAGGCAGCGAGGCGTCGAAACCCAGGCCGTCAATCATCTCACTGTGGATGGACAGACAGACGGGGAGGCGTTAGAAACATACGATAAGGACCGTGAGAAGATCTGAAAAAGGAGTTGACAAGTACTCCCGAAAGTGGATGTCGGAGGTTTACCACGCAGCAACTACAGGTCGAAGCTTTTACACTCTAGATGATAGGGGTTCATAGGGAGCAAGTGGATAAGTCCGCGTAATTATAAACAAGAACAAACACAAATGAGGGGTCAATGCGTTGCCATAGCGTGTACATGTTTCATGTGTTCAGTATGTGTTTATATAATGCATTTCGTGCATAACATAAATTGGGGCTTTCCAAAAGCATCTGATGCAATGGAGGCTAGCGTACCTAAATGATATCACGTAAAAGACAATGTTCAAAATGTCTACCTACCCACGACCAACATGCTATTGTAACTCGTGTCGCGTTTTGTGTAAAGCGCGAACATGAATAGGAATGATTTTCGACATATTCACATAGCACGTCTGCCACCTGCACAAAAATAGCCATCAAACAGGAACCTATCAATCTATTACACATGGTTACAGATAGTCAATATCAGGCAGCGTCCAGTGATATCCATACATCCGAGGTAGACGGTGACACCTTCCGACCTCGGCCCTCCCTGTTGGACCAGACACCGAGTCCCGCATCTGGACCCGACCGGCACCCCTGACAGGATGCACTGAGCTCGGCGCGGCGCTCTCAGCGCAGCGTCCTCACCTGAGCGGCGCCAGGCGGACGTAGGGTCTCCGCCGTGTCCGGGAGGACATCGCTACTGACTGGTGGTCATGTGTGGGGACCGAGCACAGAGGGCACGCGGGCACCGACCGGCGTCAGCTGACCCGTATACAATAGAGATGCAGTAGTGACGGTAGGCTATGGTAGATTCGCCAACACCCGTGGCACCACTGCACCTTGTATCTCTGTTTCCCCACGGCACGAACAACTTCACACACCACTGAGAGTTAAGAGCTTCACGGGATCTCGCCGAGCTCGTCTGCCGCAGCTGACACCACGGCGCCGACTGGCCACTCGCCGTGCAGTCTGCAGCGTCACTCACAGTACCGCTACCGGCTGCCGTACCAACCGCGTCGCTGCCGCGTCATTAGCTCTCCAACCGGTAGCTCCTTCATCGCCACTGCACCCGCACCAGACCGGACCGACCCCGACACCCGTACCGCAGTACCACCGCGCCTGCCCGCACCACTGCCGCGCGGCCAGTGAACCGCGTCTGCCGGCGCCGCGCTGCCGAGCCGCGCTGCCCAGCCTCGCTGCCGTGCCAAACCGGGCCGCCGGCGGCGGAGCTCGCGTGCCGGCAGTACGTCAGGTGTTCGCTGGGCTAATGCTGCCGCCGCACTGCCGAGTCGGCAGAGGACGAGCCGAGTGGCGCGGTAGTCCGGCCGTGTCGCCCCCGCAGACTGCCAGAGTGACGGGGCCCGACGGGTGGTGAGACTCCCACGGTATAGAGCCCACGAGAGGCAGTGTTTACACTAGATGACAGTCTGCTGGGAATTCATATAAACGCGCCTCATTCATTAGAGTCCCATGTCAAGGCTGAGCAGCAGGCCCACGTGCGTTGCAAACCAAATATTCCATATCCACGTGGAGCATTAAAAATGGTGCGACACTCACACATGTTAGCAGAAGCGAGACATCGCTGAGCTGGAAATTCCTGAGATTATGTCATTTGTCAGCGGAAGACTCCTTTCGCTGCTAAAAACAACCCAGGTAAGTACGCTTTGTGACAAGTTCTTCCTTCATTCTGGCAAAGAACCAAGCGGCGGTAATACAAACGGTAATACAAGCAGCGCAAGACATATGTATATGTTTACCAGTTCTCGACTCTCAGTATCACCGATTGCCAAGTAATTCCCTCCGCACTATCTACCCGTACCTACAACTTTCGTGAGCAGGAAGCTAATCGGAGCCTCAGACCTTACCAGTGCTGGAATCTTGGAACGCACGGCACTAGGGTCAATTACAAAACTGGCTAGACCGGTTAGGGGCTTTGGATGTCACCCTGCATAGCAGAGACTGGTGGTAAATAATAGGAACGAATGAAAAACCAGCGACTCGTGCAACACGGTGGTTACACTGGAAATGATTTTCAGAGCCCACTTCGGTCACGGAGGACAAGGTGACTTCAACACTGCAAGCTCATTGTCGTTTCATGTCGTGAATCGAATGTTAATGCTTCACTGCATGAGAAAAATGTTGTTTTTAGAACAATGCACTACGACGAAGCAATGCAAAACATACAAATCGTGGGTATTGCGAGGGTATCAGCGCTGTTAGTCGTCAAACAAGTGCAACGTTTATCCAAACAACGAATATCGTAACAAATGTCTCGTTGTTTTATTATTGACTAGCCACACAAGAGGAAGAGATCCACGGCCTTCGGCTACGCATAGCCAAATGTTGACCTAAAACAAAGCTTGCAGCTAAAATAAATAATCAACAGTCGGATAAGACGGATCTACGGATGAGACTGTGGGCTTTTTATCGCTCCGAAGCCGAGCGGGCTTCGAGAGGGGCTGCGAGCTTCCATATCAAGGACAAGGACGGCTCCTATCGCATCGGGCGGCCGCGAGTCACATGTAACAGCGTAGGGAAACCCACTCAACGTGTCCACGCATCAGACGAGTGATCTACAGTGGACAGTGGACGGAACGCCCAGTGGACGCAGTGCGTTCAGCTACGACCTTTCCAGCAAGTTCTCTCAATTGTGGTACACAATGAGACTATCCCGTCCATATTTCCAGCAACAGAGAGCGGTATTGAACCAGCGAAGGTCTGTAGGTGCCTGGGCTTCACTATTCTCCCTTTCGCCAGACCAAAAGCCACCACACAACCCCATGATAACCTTCCCAGTCACTCATGCCACCACCTGTCCAAGCCCAAACCGTCACAGTATACCGACTTTTCGGCGCTGATCGGCAGCTGAAAAAACAGCGCTGCCTCCAGCGCCCACCTGTAACTTGCCCGCAGCTCTCGCCCTACCACGCGCACCGACACTTCCCTAGCACGACTGCAATCGGAAAAGCGCACTTCGTCAAACAGCCCACTCATAGTGTGCAGAGTCAGTATATGCCGAGTCAGTGTTACAGAAACTGCGGCACTTGGCAGTGACATGCAAATGCGTGACGTGACGAAAAGATGCAGCTGTAGTGTGCGTCAGTAGGTGTCTCCGGACACTATAGGTGTAGAAGCTGATGGCTGTAAGTGGCAGTTGCTGTCAAGTCATTTCTGTTACTTCTGACTATCCTATTGATGCTGCTCCCATTAGAGTCCTGTTATATTAGTACCGGTTCGTGTCGTATGTAGACGTGTCCGCAATTGTCTGCTCCAGTTCCATTCATCGACTGTCGCTGGGTGCTATTGTCTGTCAATGTCAATTACTGTCAGTCAGTGTCCAGTACCCCAAAGTCCCAAAGCTGACCGCCTCAGTGGCTGCTATTGTCTGCAGTGTCCAGTACCTGCTGGTGCCGTAGCTGACCGCCTGACCCGACACCAGCGACGTTCTCTCGTCGTCCTTCTTCTTCCGAAGCCTGCCGCGCGTCATCGTCCTTCCACCACTCACTAGTCTGCACTTCTATCGCCCCAGACACCACCTCTTCCTATGACATCTCTAAAACCCGCGCCACCACAAGCACCCGACCACCAACTAAGGGATCCGCACCTGGCGTCTGTCAGCACCCACCGGTGACACCGCCGCCACTCAGCTCCCACAGTCCGCCGCGTCACGTCCTCACCGACGTCTGATCGTCGACTCAGACGAGGCCCGTCGACGGCACCAACGCACCCCCCCGCGCGCACCACCGGCGCGCTCACGAGCGAGCATCCGACCGACAGCCGGTGCAGCTGTGTGCCACGGGGAGCGACACTACCATGAGGTCAGGTTTCTGGTCGTAGGCTGGATTTTCTTCAGACTTTCACGTCAACCCGTGACACCCAATCTGAGATAACAAACCGGTTTAAATGTCGTCTTGATATTTAAAATCGCTTCTTCTAAACTGAAGCCGAATCACTTATCGAGAATATGTGCAGGAAACGAAAATCGCGAACACATTGCAAAAGTATGACCCGGTGATCCACTCGAGACTTCGCGAGCGACTGAAAGTGCGAGGATCAACTGTCCATCGCACCACACTAACAGACAGCGCACGGCACTCGACAGGGGCCGCCGCAAACGCTCCGCCCACTGCCATTGTACGTCACATGAGACCAGCTTATCGGAGAGAGATACGAGCAGGGATCACTCAAAGCGAGAGCGGAATATTATGTCACGAAAAAAAATAACGACATGAGGATGGGAGGCATGAAGAAGCATTATTCACTAAGAACGTACCCATAGGTGTTCAGGCGGCTGGTCACTGTTGACAGCAGGTAGACCAACGGTGTGAAATAACACTTCACTTCAAACACCACTACACACGTGTAACAATACGGGACTGCGGGCCCCGTCCGTTCAAACGGAGCGGTCGCCGGCTGACAGACGGCACCGACCGCCTGCCTTTCTGTGGCTGACAGATCGCGACCTCACCGGGACGTGACACATGACAGGATCTGTCACACAGGCCGGCCACGTGTGGGCAGCGGACAGTCGCGACACATAGCAATTGGCTTGCAACGTGGGTGAGGAGTGGATATGAAAGAAGCGGAGTTTGAAATCACGAACAAACCTTTCAGAGTTCAGATGAAATGGAGAGCCAGGGTTACATTTGTAAATTATTTGTGGTCTTGGAATGCTTGCAAGATAATCCACCAAAATATTATATCAATATAATTTTATTTAAGCGAATAATCGCCAGGGTTGACGATTGCAAGGCTTACATCCGCTCCAAAGTCAGGGTAGACTTTACAAGGCCCAAAATGTAACATAAGCAAGACCAGTGAACGAACGGACCCAACTCTGCTAAAGCGTAGACCAAAATAAACCGAACAACATGCATCCTGAATCCGTCACGGAGTAACATCAGTGTAGGAGATTCGTCAGAAATGGCGTCATACCGCCCGGCGTGGCCCCATGTCCGGACACCCTGCTCAGATGACGCGCTGCATGTTCGCAACGTGTGCAGCAGTCCAGACACGGACAGCATCCGACAGGCAACAAAACTCGCATTACGCATCGGAATAGGAAAGGAAAAATCAATGCGTCTGATGGGCTGAATATCAAATCAAGGATCTTTGGAACACGGCCCATGAAACTTCTCACTGAAGACCGGGTTAAATATTCACAAATAGTGATTAGGACAATGTTATGACATCAGACTGGCTGTACTCTTTAACCATCCACCAAATATTTACGCTACCACATCAAAATATTTGTCGCAGGAACCCGACATGCATTAAACTTTGCCCTACCGCATACCCTAAGCAACAAACACACAAAACACTCACCCACGGTTAACAGCGAGGGTGGAGCCGGGGGCAATAAACCGGGGACACAACACTGGCACTATCAGTCAGCCGGTGCTGAACTCTGCACACGGTACAGCGGCGAGTGGCGACCACCTGCAGCTGAACCAGCAGCGACCTCCCGGCGCCGCGAGCAGACCGGCGCGAGGCGCGCTGCGCTATCTATCTGAACAGCATGTGGAGCGTTAGTGCCGTGTGCTACACTTGGCACAAGTGGTGACTGACAGCGCCGCCACGCTAAAGGCTGGTGTCTGTACCGTGTGCAAAACTTCCAGCCGGAGCCGCGGGCGGCCGGCGGCACACCACAGCGCTGTTGTACCGTGTGCCAAAGTCCACAAACGGGTGCCGTGGGCAGCCCATCGCCGACGATGACCACGGACGATGAGGAGACGAAACGCTGCAGCCGACTCGAGAGGGCGGCATTATTACAAGTACGGCCAGGGGATGACATGTGATATTAGTTCATATCAATGTAGCAGAGCACGAGTGAAGTGGCACCATAATTATCGTGAGGAGTGACGGTGATAGTAAAGATTGTCCGCGCACCATTGGGACTTCCTGTTAAACGAGACCTTCCTGGGGCAAGGCTACGACTCGAGATATTTATACCAAGAACTCTGAAAAGGCAGCAAGCAACTACGATACTTAGCCTGACCAACGTAGTTGGGCGAATGTAGCCGTTGAAATGCCTCTCATTATCAAAACTGCACATCTTCCCTTTTATATTTGTATCCTGCCAAAGCCAATGTCATCGCGAGCAAATCAGCGCTAGTCTGCGGACTGCGCGTACCGTGTGCCTGTGCAATCTACAGCATCGGGTGCAACATAGCAGTACAGTGCGGAGCCGTATGGGTGCCTACTGCCTGTAGTTGTCTCTGTACCGTGTGCAATGTACATATCCGGCAATAGGTGTAGCATATTTCATCTTATACCAGCGAGGTGATTCACTTTTTGTGCAGGGCATGACTAGTCTACCCGTCACAGGTCAGGGGAAGGTCCTGTCACCGTTCGACCCGGAGCCGCGACCAGATGACCTTCCTGTAACATACGACTAGAGGCTGGGTCTCTGATCGGTCCGACGCTCGGCAAATGTGCTGGTGATGGAATGGGACCTCGCCGCGGCCGACGAGCACTTGGCTGATTGCTGACAAAGTAACTGACACCGCTACCCGAATGCCGTCATGCCGGAGGAGAAATGTCCCAGGAAAGCAGCTCACGTAGATTATCTAATACCCAGTGCATTTACATGCCATTGAAATCAGTCTTTACCTGATATGTGGACAACGTTCACAAGCCGCAGAGGTTATTTTTGGGCCGTATTTACAACTGAATCACAGGAGTAACTACACTAAAACGGCGAACTTAAAACGTAACTCCCAGAGACATCAAACAATAAGGGCCAAGACTAGGATGAATCATTTGTCTGACGAAACCACAACATCAACGAACCAGAACTAGGAGAAGCGATCTGGCCTCGGCAGCTCCTACCATTCACCCTGGATTTTATAACGTCCCCAATTCCCAGCCATTTTGCCCGGCCTCGGCCCTCAGGCAAGGTGCAGGCCTCCCCTGTTTGCCCCCCCCCCCCCCCCGGTGACTCACCAGATACCCGCCGGCGAGGTCAGCTGGGGGTCAAAGGTCACTGTGGCGCTCTCCTCGGCCAGTGAGACGCTGACCGAGTGGATGCCGGCGTTGTCGCCCACCGTGCCCTCGATCTTCCTCACGCAGGACTGACATGTCATCCCTGTCAACAAGCAGAGCATTGGGCGTGTTATTTCTGCCAACGGAACGCACTACTGACATATTGTCATATATGTAAACCAACAAAGTCAACATGTCAAGTCTGCGAATAGACAGCACGACTGATACGTTAACCCTAGTGTGAGCGAAACCGTCATTTTAACTGCACGAAAACAGCGGTCCGCATGAGTGACGTCGATCCTACTTAGGAAACGCACAACTGTCTGCCAGTCCTGTAATCACACGCTGTCGGCTCACACACAGTCCGAAAAAAGGGTGGCGGATCGGTCAGGGCACGATTGTGTAGTAACTTTCAGGCAAGACAATCAGTCCACTTGGTGAAGTTTCAAAGATCTATTTGAAGATAGAAATCGGTTTGAAAAGCAGGTACGACCTTTGGGCTGCGCCCTTTATTCGATGTTAAAATACAGAGCCTGTCCTAAAAGTTCGAAATTAAGAGATATCTCTAGTGGTGATGGTTATCAGGATGGCACTTCAGTGGATCTAACACGAGGACACCGATAATGATCCGGCTTATGAACATTGAGCACTGCTCAGTGCACAAAGTCCATCAGTGAGCAGTGCACAGCACGGTCACAGCTATCTAGCGGGAAGTGCTGTAGTTGAGATTGCGATAAATTCCGCCAGGTGGTACACTATACCCGAGCTGAAGTAGCACCAGGAGGGCATCTGTTTCGCGGTACGTCCCAAGGGCTAAATCAGTCTGAGAAATGCATAAAGCTGCTCTAAGAGCCCCAGTTTCAACCGCCCATAAAATGTCACTGCCTTAAAATTGACTCAATAGCGAAAAACAGCGAGCAAACAATACGACAGTGTACCTAAATCTGACCCGTGCAGGCCAAGGGAAAATTAATAAATATTTCATTATTAATCATGTCGCAATCACCGACTGCGCGTGACTAGGCACGTTCCGTGAGCGTGTGTAGCCTCTGATAGCAGTCAGACGCGTGATAAGATGTGTCCGCGGAGCACGGAGCACACAATACCGGCACATTTGCGGCTGAATCCACACGGAGATAGTTGGTATCATATCTGTGGACTGACCAGCAACTGGACTCAGCAGTGAGGCAACAGTGGGTGAAAACTTGCGCAGTGCAAAGATATACTTGATAGAGAATGCACACTTCTATCGTCGTTCATCTGCCAAAGCTTTCATGCAGTAACAGGCTCAATCTAGCCAGTAGTCTGGTCAAAGGACCAATAACAACCCACACACACCAGAGCTACACCCAGCCTATAGAGTCACCCTGCCAAAGGCCGTGACATTACCCCTTCCCCTCCTCTCCCCCGCTCTGCCGGACACAGCTCAGTCAGGCGGACCAGCTGATGCAACCTCCCCCTACACCCACATCCCGCGGCTATCGCACATTGAAGTGGACACGCCATGAAGTGGACACCTAAAAACACGACGGGAGTGCTGCCGAGGGAAGAGGAGAAGAGGCGGACATGGCCTGGTCTGGTTGGTGGAGAGCAGGGAGAAAAGGCGAGTGAATGAATGAATGAATGAATTGGTGAAGGCATGAATGAATAAATTAATTAATTAACTAATTACTTAATCAATGAATGAATGAATGACAACCAAGAAGCTCGACAGCGAAGTTACAGGCTTCAAAGTTCGCTCCTGCCAGTAAAAGGGTGATGCTTATTTCAAGGTCTGCAGAGATCATCGAGGCACGCCAAAACACTACCCGAATAAGACCAAATGAGATCAAAGGAAGCTATGTAAATCTCGGGCAGTTTAAATTCAAAAAGTGAGGCATACGCTAGATAACCACCCAGCGGCCTTAGGTAATCTGCATCCGTAGATCTAAAGTAAAGGAAGTAATACGGCGGAACAGACCGCCCGATTTCCGCGAATAGGACAATGGTACTTTGACAGAAGAAGGTGGGAAAAGCCACTCTCAGCTTAAAAATCGCAAAACAGCACGTGAATAACTGACCGAACGACATGACAACGTACAATTCAATTTAATAACTGAACGAGCTTCATGACAACGTAAATTCAATATAGACTGTATGGTGCACAGAGAAAGCCCAAACCTTGGCCCAAACTCCAGAATCCAGACGCAAGTAAGGTACCGCATCAACGGAATGTTAACTGCATATTCACAGACTACATCTATCTGACTCGGGAGATGAGGACGTCTTGGGTCAGCCAAGTGGCTGGGCTATCCAGACGAGGTCAGCAGAGTCCAACCAATCCACTTGACAAGACCTCGCTACGTACCTTTGATTGAGACGACCACGGTGGCTGCGGGCTCTCCACCCTCGATGTCCACCAGTTGGGTCATCATGACGGCGGTGCTCTCTGCTCACCGCCGCTGCCACAACACCACACCAACAACAGCGGCCGCGCCGCGCCTCCGAACCGACCGCACGGCTATACACGTCACTCTGACGTCACACACACCGCACCACCGGCAGCCGCGCCGTCCGGAGCACCGACCCGTGACGTCATGCACTGGTTCGGGAATCTCCGCACTTCACACCACACGGGGAGTATTATGCTACTGAGTATCAACAGTTCGTGTCCGACGCTGTGGGACTGTAGAGGTCCAGCGCACCTGTGAAAGGAACAAAAACCGGTGCTGACTAAATAACTTTGCACAGCTGGATAGCGTGAAAACAAATGAGTCACATACGAGACAAATGTGATGAAGGATCGCTAGGTTGCAAGGGGCAGGAAGAATGTCTTCGCTCTGAAATATGCCTGTCACTGTGAAATTGACATGCATAAGCAGGCGAAGTCGGCAGCCAGCATGTCATTGACTACGAAACTGACGGCAACAATAGCACGCGTAAAGCGGCAACACACGACACCCGCTCTTTATATTGCTACGCAGCACTCTGAACACAACACATTTCACAACATCGCTAATCGCTATACGGAGTAAGGTCACAGCGGCACCGTGCCACGATTGATAGCGCGCTAGCCGGGAGCGGGGCCGTGTCACGTGTCGTATCGCTCCAGTCCGGCGCGACCACAGGTGACCACCAGACAGTCGCAGAGTCACTGTCCCCCGGACCGGGCCGGATCCCGCCGACCGGTCCGTCCGCCTGGTGACACGCCACTCGAGACGACAGCTAGGGCCGGCCGGACCGCAACCGCCCAGACAAACTCATAAAGCCTCCGATCGGGCGCAAAGGTCAACACAACGCACAGGGGCGACGTCGCTCGTCCGAACCGTTACGACTTAAATATGTGGAGACTGGAGAGCATACAAAACGCAGCTGATGAAATACTCCAATCACAGAAAAAGCTGCCCTGCTGCCATTGGTAGTAGAGTAGTTATGTGCTAATGTGAGTGACATGGCCACAGGACCAGATGGCAAAAATATGGTCCTGTGATTGCAATGCTACTTAAGCATTCTAGATGGGATAAACTACCTCTCACCAAAGCCCATGATCCTATTATTATTTAATGAACCATGCAGGGTATATCACAAGGGCACAGGGCACTTGCCACTAATATCCATTCACATAAAATGTGCTAGCTGCAAATACAAGATCTTTAGCAGCAAAAATGTTATCTTCAGTCTTGCCCAAGGAGTGTGATAAATCAGATATTTGTGCAAAATAAATTTCGCTGAAGGTTTGGATGGATAGCATGACAGAGCAGAGCCCACAAAGTGACCGCAGACTTCCTAGAACGGGACTACCTCCATTAGGAGTCTCATATTCATGTATCAAGTGCAGGAGCACTGAATTCCACTGAAGCTGAATCATCAGTTACCTATCACCCCAGGGCCCATATAACAGATGGCACGTTTTGTCAATGATGTTGTGACAACTAGAACATTCTGGATTCACTGGAGTGGAAGCATTACAATCAGCATAAAACCGAGCACGCCAGTGGATATCCATATTGATATGCATCAGCATCAATGTCAATACTCAATATTGATTACGGAGCGAGCGAAGCGAGCGGAGGCTTACGTAGATTAACGGAAATTTCTGAGTATGAGCGGCCGGCCGTGCGGACGCTTTTGCGAGGCTTATATCTCAGCAGCCACTTGACCGATTTACATGCGGTAATTCTTGTAGGGCAGCTTCATTCGTTCTACCAAGTACCTATTGGACTATTCCCGATGCATGTGGGTCACGGGTGACCCCTTATGCACGTGCCACGTGCAAATCGAAGAGGTGTCAGTTTTGTAATAATTGCAATATCTCTGTAACTACTTGGCCGATTGCGCTGAAAGTTGGCATGTAAGTAGGCAGCCACTAGGCAATGCTTATCCATGTGCCAGAGTTGGGGTGGCGGGTGCTGCTGCACGTGCGCACGTGCAGGGGTCGTTTCCAGATCTCGAGAATGGCTGGACCGATGGTGCTCAAATTTGGTACACAGTTAGGGACCAGTTAGTAGGGTGCCGTGCAAAAGTCAGTTGGGACCCATTTTGCACATGCGCACGTGCAGGGTGCAGCTTAGAGATCTCGAGAACGGCTGGGCCGATGGTGCTCAAGTTTGGCACATCACTAGAGACCGGTTAGTAGGGTGCCGTGCACAAAATTTGGAGGCACCCCCACAAAATTTCACATATGCAAGGCCCACCCTCTCGCTCCCTCCGTTAGTCGCCCCAAAAGACGTTGCATTAGCTGGTATGCTAACAAGCAATCCACAACCAAAGCTATGCACATCAGGAAGATAATTTCACTATGAAAATAATAGTGGCAGAAAATTTAAAAAGCCTGCCGGCTGCCACAGAATCGAGAAATCCTTTGAATTTGAATGTTGATGTGAAAACAGATGAAAAAAATAGTAAATAACAAAAGTAGGTACATGCATCAACACATGTATCAATAATACTTTCATGTGGGCGAGAAATCATAACATTTCATAAAATAACAAATTAAGCAACTCTACCTGAAGCTATTCGATTTCACGATCCTCACATCCTACTTCAACACCCGTCCAAAACAAATCAGCAGACAGAAATTGGCGCAACTGTTACAGGCTTTGTCAACTTCCGAAATGAAGAAACCATACAATGACGTCATTGAAAAATATTTCAGACATCACTTTTCATTCATATAAAGGTTAAAAATATTGATAATCTAGTTAAATATTCACTTCAGTGTAATAATAATTCAAAGGATTATTTGACAAACTTAAAAAAGCATAATAACAGAAGATGATGTAAACTGGCACCCCTTAAATGATACTCAGTCTAATGACGTCAATGAATGACCTTAAAATTTCACACTTACCTGCATAAAAAATGAATAAATAATCCTCAACAAAAATAACACAAGTGTCCTATGCCATGCTAGTATAGAACTCAAGGCACACCACAGAATAGAATAGGCATAGACCAAAGGTAGGGTATTACCAAGGTAAACCGGTATTACCATTTGAGCATTTATGTTTTGTCAGTCCTTGGTACACGTTTTATTGCACTGATGTGCTTTTTGTCTGGGCCTGAATTGTGAAATACCCATAATTCTGTTTTATTTAAATTCAAATTGTGTTCATTTCATGTTTACTGTTCTTAAAGGAAATATACCTTGAGCCATATTGCCGTACACTTTGTATGTGGATTGCTCTTAAATGTAAATACAAATATTGTAGCTTGAGCTAAGTTCAGCACAAATGGCCTCGGGAGCTTTTACGGCATTGTGGGTATTCTGGCAAGGTAGGTAAGTTCGTCCACATCCATTCAAAGAGCTGAAGCTTGCATTGTACTTGGTGATCATATATCCTTGCAATGCTCTCATCAATTTTCTGTACATGACAGTACATTCTCATTCTTTGCCCTCAGCTCAGGTTTCAACAATAACTGATTGAGCAATGACCCTTCCAATCAACTGACATCAGCATGCCTCTGGCATTCATCAACTGAAAATGGATGACTCAAGAACTCGCCAACAAACGATGAACGACACCAGAACGATCGTAGACATCACGGACCATGCCTGTAAGGCGGAGCTGGCTGTGTACCGCGCTGGTGAACCTCCGCCGGCGCTGCGACTCTGCATTACCCTGCGCCTGTGGTCGGACGCGCTGCCGGGACGGGTGACGCCGGCCACGGCCGAGTGGGCGCTCCAGCTGCGCCGCCTGGAGACCCCGTGCCCGGCGCGCGCCGCGCCCCCGCCCGCCTGCAATGGCCACGTGGAGGGTGACGGTCCGGCGGCGGCGGGGACGGCCAGCCGGGCCTCCTCGCCCGGTCTGACGGTCGCCCAGGACGCCGACTCGGCGACCAAGACGCTGCTGGCGCACCTGGAGCACCTGGCCGACTGGAGCCGGCAGACGGGCCGCGCCGACCAGCTGTACGTGGTGACCGGCTCCGCCGAGCTGGTCCACCAGCAGCTGCAGCTGCTCCAGCAGCTGGCGCCCGACGACGAGCCGGCCGGCTGGCTGGCCGAGCGGGGCGCCGCCGCCGAGCGGCTGCTGCGCCGGCTGCAGCAGCAGCTGCTCGGCTGGCACCGGCAGCAGCTGGCGGCGCGCCTGCTGACCGACCCGTGCTCGCAGGACTGGCTCTCCCCGCGCGCGGCAGAGGAGGGCGGCCGCTGCTCTTTCGCTGTCCATTGGTGGTGGCTGCACATGCAGGCGGTGCGACACGACGCGCGTCAGGCGCTGTCGGCCGAGCGGGCCGGCCGTTTGTTCGGGGTCCTGCTGACCGAGTCGCTCGGGCAGATCGGGGTACACTACGGCCAGGTGCGGCTGGAGTCGGAGGAGCGCGCCGATCAGCTGCGCTGCGACCTGATGACGGTACTTCTGGCGGCCTCCGAGCTCGTGCTGGCCGTGGCCGCCGAGCCGGAGGAGCTGTTTGTCTCGGGTGAGCGCGAGGACTCGCCGGCAGCGCTGGTGGCCGCCCGCTGCCGGCTGCTTCTGCTGCTGCTCGGCCACCTGGCGGCGCCGCTGAAGGCCGTTCACAAGCGGTGCGGCCGCGGCGGGTCGCAGCGGCTACTGCCGGCGCCGCCCAGCTGGCTGGCCCTGGTGCGGCCGGCGCTGGTGCCGCCGGACGCCGCCGCGCCGCGCCAGCTCGACTCGCACGTGGCCGTGTACCTGCTGGTGCGTCTGCTGACCGCCGCCTTTCCGTCGCCCGCCTGCTGGCCGCTGCTGGCACGCGCCCTGCTGGAGCGGGACCTCACGCTGTCCGTACTGCTGCTAGTCCACCTCACCGAGCTAGTGGAAGCGGGCGAGCCGGCCGAGCCGACCGGCGGCGGCGCGGCGCGCTCCGCCTGTCACGGCGCGCTCTGCTGTGACGCCCCGGACGAGGGGTGTGTGGCGCACGGCGCCGTCTCTGCGCGCGCCCTCTTCTCGGCGTTGGTGCTGGCGGTGACACGGGCCGCTCCAGCCGGCCTGCAGCCGCTGCGAGTGCTGCTGTCGCCCTGTCTGGACCGACTGGCCGACCGCGGCTGTCCGAGCGTGTGGAACCAGCGCCGGCCGCTGTGGCTGCAGGCGCTGGTCGACCTGGCCGAGCCGCTGATGGCCTCCGCCGTCTCCGCCGTCGTGGAGGACATTCAGGAGAGCACGGATGCCGACCCGGAGAGTCGCGCCGTCGCGCTGCTGCAGTACGCTGCCGAGGTGGCCGCCGACCTCCCGCCGCTCCTGTTCGACCTCAGCGAGCTACCCGTGGAGCCGCCGCCGCTCGGATTGGCAACGCACGTGCTCCTCAGCGCCCTCTACGACGCGCTCAACGACCAGGAGGCGGTGATGCGGGCGGCAGCGGCCGGCGGAGAGCGCCGCGCCGCACACGTCTGTGTCACTGTCGGCGAGGCTCTGTGCCGGCCCAGTGAGGAGCTGCAGCGGCACATAGCTGCCTTGGCCGACACGCTGCGAGTACTGGCCTGTGAGCCGACTGACGAACCGGTGTCCACAGTGGAAGACGAGATAACGTCTCTCCCACCGGGAACAGCGGCGGCCGAACAGGCGGCTGTGATTGGCTCCGACCACACTGGCCGCCGTGCGCTGTGGCTGATCGCGGCCGTGCTGCGGGAGAACGGCGGCTGGCTGCGCCGGCGACTGGGCGTGCCGGCGCCTCTGGCGGCCGCCGCCGAGCCGTGCAGTGACCCGCTCTCACTGCGGCTGCACGACGAGTCGGTGTTCTGGCCTGCAGCCGCGCTGCTGCAGCTGGGCGGCGGCCGGCTGGAGCAGGCGCGCCTGCTGCGGCTGCAGCCCGAGTGGCGCACGCTGCTGGCCGCCGACCTGGGCCAGACGCCGCCGCTGGTGCGCAGTCTGGTGGCGCGCCGCTGGGAGCTGCAGCCGGACGCGGCGCTCGCCGACGGACAGACGGAAATGGTGGAGACGCTCCGGCGCCGCCTCCAGCTGCTCTGAGAGCGCGTGCAGCAGCCGAGCTGAACGGACGTCGCTGAAAGATAAACTGGGGTGCTCTGATGTGACAGAATCGTCCGAACCCTGGAAAGCTGTTGTGAAAAAACAGCTTTCGTTTTTAGGTCTGAAAGAATTGATATATCAGCTTATATGGCGATACTGGACTGTAACAACGTATGTACTTACAGATACGGAAACTTAGAGATCGGTAACGTTTTGATCTCTTGCGAATCTCTATGAGTCTTGGTTGTGGCGTATAATGTTTATACCGTAAACGCATGCATGTTTAAATGTCGCCGGTATTTTTTCGAACTGCTCTGGCTGAAGCGATTACAGCTCTGGTCATTACTAGTCAATGAACTTGTTGCCCTGAAAGGTGTTATTTTTTATTACGTATGACTTGTTTATTGCTATTTATTTCTTATTTATTATCTGTGCTTCGTGCATGGTGAATTCTTGTATCGTATTTCGCGTCTATTGTTTTATCATTTTTTATCATGTTAGGTGCTCTACATGAGTGTAGCTCGTCTTTCCATCAGTGTAAACCACAGTCCACATCCGTCCCTAGATCCGTCCAGAACTTATTGAACTGTGAACAGTCAGTGTCATCGTAACTGGTAAGTGTGCCGTTGTGTCTCAGGATATGTACGCGGACTTGCAGTTCGGCATTACCGAGGTGGATTATATAATATGGAATCCATGCATGGTGAATAAGGGTTACGATGTAGTGTAGTCGCGATCCGAGGAAAGGATATTGGTTGATCATTGCCATGTCCAGCATGTTTTAGGTCCTGTGTACACTCAGACGTAAAAATAAACGTTCAAATTGTACAATTTTTGTATTTTTGCAGTTGTGCTGTGCCCAGCGAAATAAGCAAAATGCCTTACGTTATAACACTACCACAACAGTCGACAAGTGCATGCAACGTTACGATGCTTGATTGAATAGTCGGTTTTCACGCCTGGAATGGCCTGGAGGGGGTGGGGGCGTAAAGTTGAACTGAACGGACGATGAAATACGTACTATATTTTTATGGGGCATTTTTGTCGTGAGTGAAAATACTTTAAAATATGTTCGCCGACAAAAATCGTCCATATCTTATGTTAATTGCCTGTAAACTTTGATGATTACGTTATAACCTACCTATCTACGACTCTACAGCTGACAGTCTTCGGTTGAATTACTTGACTCGCCTGTCGCCAGGCTGCGCCGATTCAACGAATATCGGTTATATATAGATGTCGCCACAAGACAGAAAATACCCATCTCGCGAGTCGGACCAATTTTGACCGGATCGCCTTACCGTGGCCTAGCCAACTTGTGTGATGTGTCTTCCTCTTGCACCACATGCCGTTCAGCCACTTCCATCCTGAGGACAGTCAAATCCTCCTCCTCCACTCCTCTGAACCCCTGATACGGACTGGCCGGCCACTTTCATCCGATGTGAGTAGCTCCTAGTCTGTGGTGAAGTGACCGTTTGCGGGGCTGAGAGGCCCGTCCATTGGGACGGGCGGTGCACCAGGGTGCCCGCCCAGACCACTGTCTCTCCCTAATTCCTTTCATCCTCCCGGCTGCAAAAACGCATCATCAGACCAAAAAAGCCTATCTACGAAAAATCAAGCTCTTGCGCGCATTTTATGGGTGAGATATCATTAGGTATCGTTTGTTAGTTTGTATAGGTAAATGGCATATTTGAACAGCAGAATTTTCTGCTGACCAAAAGAGTTGCAATATCAACCTTTTAACCATTTTGAATTTAGCTGGTAGCTTCGAATGTCGCCAACAATATAAACCAATCCAACATCTTGTAAAGTAACAACATAAGACAGGTTGCTACATTATGATAGAGGTACCTACACAAACGATACAGACAAAAGACAAATGTTAGAGGCACAAGACGTTAAAAGCCTCGAACATCATTATTTAAACGCCATTTCTTTGAATGCCTATACCTATGACAGTCCTATGTGTGCGGCAGACACAGTCGCCTGTGCAATCTGTAATAAGTTCATTGGCATCTAATATGCAGTGAACTTCCCTGAGGAAAGCCTCAAAACAACCTTGATGTGACCCACTAAACTGTTCAGGAAGGAAATATACGAATGTGTCTGCATTCTGATATCCGTAATTGATACAGGGTCTCTACCAGCGCCGTGTCTGCTATAGGTGGCCTTGGCTGGGTACCAGGTTCCGAGAAGGCAGAGACGAACGCATGTATTCGCTGAACTACACGTTTTCGATCTTATGTCAAATGTCAGTGAATCGCAGTCTGTCAGGTGAGCCCAATGAGGCTCCGGATGCAAGGGCATGTTCCGAATGGCCTACCAACTAATGCACCCCGTTATCACATTGTGATATCCCGCGGGACTGTAAGGCTTATAGAACGTATAGGGTACAAAATAGATTCCTACACAGAGGCTTGTCGAATATATGCGGCGATATAGCTCTATAAAGTTATTTTGTTGACGACGCTTGGTTAGACGGATGCCCGTCACCTGTCACCTGAAATCGCTGCAAGGTAATAAACCTCATCAAGATGAAATTTAGGCATACAAGGAAAGCGACAGACATTGACCGTTTTTATATTTACATTAAATGCTCCCCATTGGTCTCATTTGCGAGAAATCAAGATTATAGCTGTCAAACGAACGTTCCAGGAAATAAACATTAACAACGAAAAACGGACCATACTTCCGGCTGCTGTATCTCTTGCATCAACACCTCGTTGTCCCTGTTCCGTTAGAACACGATCTATTTGTTACAGTTTTCCTGATCGCACATAGCGCCCTAATTGAGGGAAGAGCTGGGGTAAAAATAATCGTCAACATGACGCGGGTAAACACCGACACTCACCTACTGTCGACAAACTTCGGGCGTAAATAGCGCGGAAGGAGCCTGCGACGCGACCGTTTTGTTGTTGTACCTGCCACGTGGTCTTCGTTATTGTCTAGACAAGGATATAATCTCGGATTATCATAACTTTTGCAGGTAGGGTGCCATTGTAATATCATGCTTAAAATTCAACTTTATGTGTATTATTTCCAAACGACACGTTTCAACTTCAACGACACGTTCCGCGAGACGTTCAGACGTTCAGTGCACGTTTTCATTTTATCGGCTCGAAACCGAGCCCAATAAAAGAGCAGCGTTTCCTAACTCTGCAGATATCCTAACGGCTGCCTTATGTGGGGCACCCACTGCTGCATCCTACACACATTCCCACACTGCTCTGCCTCGAGCTGCCCGTGACCGGTAGCGGCCTGTTCAGCCCGCGCCCCGCCCGACTGACTGCCTCAATCTTCACGCGCCGCCTGCACGGTTCCCCGAAGGCACGCCGCTCTCTGCCGCTCATAGCGAGCTCCCGACGCAGCTCTAACGAGCTTTCGCAGCTCAGCGGCTCTCGCAGCGGTTCCCCAGATAGGGGTAGCTGTGATTGACGTCAGCGGTGGTGCAGAGACGCTGCTGATGACGCGCGCGGCGTCACCCGAGCAACGGCCGTCACAACTGACGTCAGCCGACACGGACACGCGCCGAGCCGGAGCACGCAACTACGCACCGAGATATACGGCCGGCGACAGGCACAGAGGCGTCACAATTTATTGTCCGCTCCTATCAGACTTCCTTGAGGGTCCAATTTTCCTCAGCATCTACTACATGCATCTCGATGTGATGGGTTTGGGACGGTACCATGCGTTTATGTAATTCTTCCGTTGGGTATACGCTATAGGCAGTTAGGTACATACATATGTGTTTCGGGATCTTCTCGTGCAGATTGTCCTTTGTCATCTGATATTTACATACCATATGTTTGTTGATTACCTAATTGATGTCAAAATAAGGCGTTAGCCGTACCTACTTCAAAAAGTCCAGTTGCTCACTTTAATTAGGTGCTACGCACATTATCGTAAGGATCGTAACGTTGGAAATTTATTCTCACGGTGCCGTACATCGTCAATTGATAAATGGTGCTTTACGAGGTAGGCATGGATGATATCTCATCCATGAGGTAGGTAATCATTTTCACGCTTTCGGGTAACAGACTGTCTGTGTATCAGGTGACAATAGGGTTCAAAGAATATTACTTTTGCACATTTTTTTTTTTTTGAAATTTGAGCTGATAATAATGTCGATACCTATTCCGTAAAGGAACCTACATCATTTCGATGGCATTTTGGGTTTAATCCAGAATCACATGAATGGCACGAGATTCTAAATTATGAGCATGTTCCTTGGGTGAGTTTGTTAGGTATACATGGGTATACCACACTAATGTATATCAAAGTCCGCTATAACTGTTTTAACAGCAATCGCTGTCATCCAGTGCTATCGTATTCGTGCAGCAAATTGAGCTCATCGCCTGTCTGGCACGACAAGAAACATCTATAGCTGTTGTTCTCTGCTACATGAAGGTCCCGTCTCTTGTCGGGCGATCTATGAATTTTGCATCAGTCAGTTGGCATCAATCCGGCGGCACTCGTCTGCCGATGAATAATAGGCCGTCCGCCCCACATTCTGCGGAAACCTCCCGTCGGCTGTCACTCATGGAACCAACTGTTCAGTGCCTACCCACAGCTCGGGTTGAGTGCGTACATGGGAGAGTCCCAGCTGAGACGAGATATGTTTCTTGGCCAACGAGATATGTTTCAGGTGTAATAGACATCCCGAATAGATCACCGTTTAGCGCGAGCTCTCAGGTAACGTCTCTGGCGCAGCGTGTGAATTCTCTCCCCTAACGACGATCACTAATAGCCGTCGCACTCGCGTCGGCCGTGCAGCGCGGCAGTCAGCCGTTCGACACTTTAGTCGGTGTGCCTGGCGAGCCGTGAGTGCCGAGTGGTTCATTCGTCAGTGACATCCGCTGGCGGACGCTTCGAACCATAGCCAGTAGCCGGCCTGTCGCACACGGCGGTGAAAGTGCTGCTGTAGGTGCCGGAACTGACGGCTGCAGTGCCGGAACTGGCGCTGAGCAGGTGTCCGACGCCAATCAAGCCAATTAGCCGAGTCGACTCCGAGTCTCCTGAGTCACCTTCCGGACTGCCATGTGGCCGGAACAGTCGTCTGAGTCACCGCGCCGACCAGTCAGCGCGGCGACCGGACGGGGAACTGTCGAGCTGGTGCTGACAGGAAGGATGTGCTCACAGCGGCCACAGGGTGGTCCTTGGACCACGGTGAACCTATGTGGGCGCCGTCTATACTACCCTCAAGTTTTACCTATGTGCTACGTTCTCTTTTCACCGAGATGTACTTGATCGGTCCCATTCTGTCCTTATAAGATTCAGACCGTTATGCACCGTTTCCTGCTGTAGTCCCGTCTCATAAAGCTTAGGCAATGAACATCCCTTCATCTTTTTTTCGTCCTCGGTCACCTTCTGTGCCACTGATTGACGATTGTGACCCTTTCGGAGGTTTTTACGTTGTCCTCTCCTTTTTTTCTTTTACCGAGTCCCGCTGAGTCTCCAGATGCACTTCCAGTCCAGTTCACTGTTAGGACCCGGCGCGACGTTCCTTTTCCAATTGAAGCCACGACGCTGTCCCTACATCCCCGGCCGCTCGGTGGTGATCTCACCCGTCGTCTGCGCTCAGGTATCCCGACCACAGGTGAACTCCCTGGTGATTTGAAACTCTCCAACGGCCGGCAGATTCCAGCAGACTGGGAATGCTCCGTGTGCTGGGGAACTTCCGGGCGGACCGCCGCGGCTCGCTCGCTTTTGTTGGTGGAAAGACGACACCTGGGACCGACCAGTCACGCCGGTCCTGCCGGTTGGAGCGGCTCGAATGGCTCTCGCGTCCCAACGGGCGGCCAAGAGTCATGGCGAAGTCGAGAGTCACG